CACAAGTCCACTGCTGAATATAGGCCTCCCCCAAGGTATGCCACAAAGCACGGTCCTGAGCCACCTGCATCCATCGACTTCCTGCATGTCGTACCAGGTCGTCACTCCGTCTAGTGGGGGTCGCCCTACACTTCGCCTACCGGTACGAGGCTGCCACAACGGTTGTCGGTTCTTCGAGCTATATGGCCGGCCCATTGCCACTTCAGCTTACTAATCCGTTGGGCTATGTCGGTCACTCTGGTTCTACTGCAGATATCCTCATTTCTAAGTTTATCACGCAGAAAAACTCCGAGCATAGCCCTCTCCATAGCTCGCTGAGCGACTTTGCGCGTCCTCATACGGCCAGCAGTGAAGGACCACGTCTCGGTTCCGTAGGTCATCACTGACATTGGCGTATACCTCTAAGAACAATTATAATATTGAAGGTTGGAAGAACTGCTGATAGTTTGTATTTAGCAAGAAATGATGATTCGATAAAGTTATTGGCATCTGAAGCAGTTAAAAGCTATTGAGACCCTGTTACGACCTAAATTCGTTATGCTTTGTTTTTCAATATTGGAAACCTTATTATGGGATAGAATATAGCGGATTTTGACAGGTCGGATTGTATAACCAGATGAAGGATCGGGTTCTATATGCTTAAGGTGAATAGTGAAAGGCCCTTTATCACTATCTGTGTATTTTTTCTTTTATAAAAAATCAGGACGGGTGTAAATATTTTGATATGACGCTGATGGCGTATCATCACGGCCAACTTTTTTAATGAATGTTTGGTGTTAAGTCCGTACATTTTCGTTTAGAGGGACGGAAACCAGACGGATTGTCTTTGTCCAGTGCTTCTGAATTTACCCCGTCGACATCCATCGTGTTAACTAAGATTACATAAATTAATTAACTACCACTACTTATCAACTAATAGGTAATGAACAACACAACACAAATTTATACAATGACAAACACAGAAAACTACTGAAAATTATTAACGAAGCCCAACACAAATTAGTTAAAATATATCCGAAAATCGCTGAAACACGTGTGACTACCAATCACTCTGACAGCAGAATCACGAAGAAAAAAAACGAATTTATTGTTAACCATTCATTTAGTCCTCGTAATATTGAAAATGAATAAGCTGTCATTTTAAATTCATTAGTTACTCAATGGCAGCGCTTCAAATCTGTTCAAACGTTTTGTAGGGTATATTGCAGTCCAGTGTATATGGAGGTCAATGGTTTTTGGGATATCTTAACAATAATTCAACCCAACAGATAGTTAGAGACTTTATTATATCAAAGTCCTGTCAGTGTTTTTTATGTACCCCTTTTTTTCCTGATGTTTGCGTGTGGCTAAGCTACCAAAAGAGACAAATTAGTGGTTTGGAGCACTTGCTTCATCGACTCAACGTAAATTTCTTGATATTCAAGCCTCATAAGCACAGATACCCATCGAAGTTTCACCCATAAAATATAAGTTCTGTGATGGCACCACTAAGGAGCAATAAACCCACCAACGATCATGTTACTGCCACAAACCCAATTTCAAGCAATTCTTTTGCTTGAAATTGATTGCTGCAGTGACACGAACTACGAATTTTCGGTTGAACTGTGTGATTGTTTATCACTTATTTCATATAAAAAGTTAGTATCGATAGAAAGCAAAACCATTTATCATTGCATGGCCATCCACACTAGCTTTTAGACTTTCGTCTGTATCACCACCATTATCATCATTATAGCTCTACACAAATCCACTGCTGAACATAGGCCTCCCCCAAGGAATGCCACAAAGCAGGGTCCTGAGCCACCTGCATCAATCGACTTCGTGTATGTCCTACCAAGTCGTCACTTAATCTAGTGTGAGGGGGGGTGAAGAACCTTTTATCCCCATCGGTTGTCGGTTCCTCGAGCTATATGGCTGGCCCATTGCCACTTCAGCTCACTAATTCGTTGAGCTATGTCGGTCCCTCTGATTCTACAGTGGATATACACATTTCTAAGTTTATCATACAGAGAAACCCCGAGCATATAGCCCTCTCTATAGCTCGCTGAGCAACCTTGAGCATCCTCATACGATCAGCAGTGAAGGACCACGTCTTAGTTCCATAAGTCATCACTGGCAACACGCACTGGTTCTACGGTATTGTTTTCAGGTTTTGAGGTATATAGCTGACGAGAAGATGTGTCGTAATTTCCCGAACGCTGCCCAGCCGAGTTGAATCCGTCGATTGACCTCCCGGCCGAAGTTAGACTTACCTAGTTGGACTATTTGTCCCAGGTATGCTATACTGGTTTATATGTGCTTCATCACTTGCTATTTCTAAAACTGTGACGGTTGGGGTTTAAAATTAGGCAACAACCAGTCATAAAAAAAAATTATATATTGGTAAAAGAAAAGGTCGTGGGCGTGGTTCCGATAATTTTAAAAAAAAGTGCCCGTCTGGCTTCACTGGCAGGGTCAGGTACTCCCCTATGTGGCCGCGAGGTGGTCGAGCAGGGCCGGGGGGTTGGACTGTTCACCGGGAGCGCCGTGGGCAGCTGGCTGTGGCGGTGGCGGCGTCGAGGGGGAGGCCTAGGCCCCCTTAAAAAAGGACGACCGCCACGGTTGTAGTCGTAAAATTGCACCCTGGAAACAACGTCGTCCAAATTTAGGTCCAGGTAAAAATGCCGCCGATTATGAACCCCCGGTATATCGCAGGCTAGCAGTAGATGGGAGCACAGAGAGTAGCTGGCGGGTGTTCATAATCAGAACGGAGTTACAAGGCGGAATGGAAGGCAAGCGTCATAGCGGTGAGGCGCAATTAAAATACACATGAATTAAAATTACGGCAAGTGTAAAATACTGTTTAAATGTACCAGGATAACTAATTTAGGCTGTGCATTGGTTGAAACATGATGGTGACTTGCGATATTTGATCGCGGTGCGAAATGTATGAGACGCCATTTTGTAACGGTACTTTTGCCAACGCGCACAGCGGCTACATACATTACTTACATGCAAATAACACTAATAACGTGGCAATTAAATAGCTAAAAGCAAACAGCCTGGCATGATCAAATTACACTACCTATAAAACACTTTCACTACTTAAAACTAGGTAACGTTTCAACACTTACCCTTACGGGGTGCAAGACGATACGGAGGTCTCGGTGACGAGAATTAACGAAAAAACTATACGGCCACAGTGCCGGAATTATTATATTATTTTAAACTTTTTCCAAAATGGGATTAAAATTTGCAAGGGCGTACGAGGACACAAAGCAGAGCTTGTGAACGCGGCTGCAGTGGTAGTGTGCGCCTCCCAGGGCGCTCGGGCGGAGAATGGTCGGGAGCGCGACGCCGTGGAATAATACCGGCCGGGTAAAACTCTGACGCGAGAGTTGCAAGGCGCATAGAGTAACGAAGCGTCAGAGTGTTTGTTCGAAATACAATATTTTAATATTTGATTTATTATTTAATTCGTTCTTTTAGTTTACTGATTTGTTTTATTAATAGGATACCTAAGTTAATTATAGAATTATTTTTGTTAATAACTTTTAATTTATTTTTATTTAGTTTATTAAATGTTTATTTAATTTTAATAAACCGTTTAATTATAATTATGCATACATGTACGTGCAACGTTACAGTACCCCGCGCGCTACATAAGGATTTTATTACTCTTAATTAATAAAATCCGCTCTAAATTGTTATGTATTCGCATTATCCTTTTATACAACATCTCTCATACTTCACGCGATTATATCAGCGTCAACGAACATCAATAGGGTAGTTGACGCATCCTGTCATTTGGCAAGGTGTTCCAGCATCGGCTAGACTGGAAGACCCATACGAATACCTAGAGCTAAAGACGTAAAAGTGTGACCAGGGTAAAACGAGCAGCATGTATATATATATAACGCTAGTGTATTCCTAAGTAACAAGCAGAACACATGCAACTTAATTAAGTGTACTTGTAGGTGTAACATGGAGATCTTGTGATGTTGCAGTGATGGTTGCTAGCCCATCTCCCACAACACACTACTACCCTATCCCTTAGTCGACTTTTACGACACCCACAGGAAGAAATGGGGTGGTGCTATTCTAACCCGACACCACACGGGGAAGTACACACTTAAAAAAAAAGTGTATACATATATGACTAAGTATTGTGTCCTGTTAATTTCAAATCCTTGATGTGCCAGGTGCCAATATCTTTCCCAGACATGTCAGCCAGGATGTAAACTAGGGGTGACTTTTTACCGATGACGCGACATTTAATAAATTTTGGCGCAAGTTTTTTACTAAAGAACTTATCCTTATCACTTAAAACATATGCGCGTTTCATTACAGTGTCACCAATGTTAAATTCCATAGGCTTGCGCCGAAGGTTATAGTGGGTTGAGTTTTTAGCATGAGCATGCCACAATTTGGCCTTTACAGTATCGAAAACTTCCTTAAGACAACCCAAATCTTCCGCGTAGATGTCACGGGGAAGGAATAAAACCTCATCGCCTAAATCGTTATCTAAATAATGCGAGCCACATGTAACGAGCTCCCTGCCGAACACCAGGAAGGATGGAGTGAAACCAGTCGCCTCACTCACCGAATTGTTGAGGGCGAACTGAACCTTCGGAATATATGTATCCCAACTGCGATGATCGTTGTCCACGAAAGTTGAGATACACGTGATAATTGAACGATTATGTCGTTCTACCAAATTAATTTGAGGGGTGTACTTTGGCGTGAAGAACACGTTAGGGACCTTATAACGATGGAAAAGTGACTCAGTGACCTTCGAAATAAACTGGCTGCCATTGTCCAAAAATATGGTCTGAGGGACACCATGGATGAGGAAAACAGACTCTTCCAGTAACTTCGTGACTGTAGTGGCAGTAGCACTTCTTAATGGGAAAATTAGGCAATATTTCGAGAAGCAGCATGTGACTACGAAGATATAAGTGTTCTGCTTCCTAGTGACAGGCAAGGGGCCCATCAAATCAATTGAAATCATTTGAAATGGCCTAGAACACTGCTTCGGGCGGCCCATTTCTCCCAAGGTTTGGTGATTTTGAGTCTTGTAAGACAAGCACTTCTCGCAGGAGGCAACGAACTTCACCACGTCCTGGTGCATACCAGGCCAAAAGTAGCGCAAGGCAATACGATGGTATGTTTTAAAAACGCCGAGATGTCCAGCCGTGGGTTCCGCATGATTCTCGTTGATCACCTGCTCGCGTAGCTCAAAAGGTACAACCTCCTTCCATAAGAACTCGGATGAAAGTGAGTGATTATTCTTGGCACGCCTGAATAACTTGCCATCCTTGATAATGAAATTCGGGAAAGTTTGCGGCTTAGAAAGGCAAGAATTATAAATATTTTTGTACCAAGAATCCGATGTCACCATGTTCGAACCGGAAGTACTAATCGCCGAGACGGGAAGAGCTCTAGAGAGGGCATCGGGGATCACATTGTCCACACCCTTACGATGCTTGAATTCTAAATGAAATGAGGACAATCTTACACCCCAGCGAGCTAATCTACCGGTAGGGTTCCTGAGAGACAGAAACCATTTTAACGCACTGTGATCAGTATAGACAGTGAATGGCCTACCGTTCTCCAAGTAACACCTCCAGTGCTCCAGGGCGATGACGACAGCTAATGTCTCACGCTCCGTTATACTGTAGTTCCTCTCTGCTGCTGACAACGACTTGCTCATATAAGCAACGGGGTGCTCCTTACCATCTATAGTCTGCGTCAGCATCGCACCCACGCCGTAATTGCTGGCATCGGTGTGTACTTCGAATGGCTTATCGTAGTCAGGGCAGGAAAGAACAGGAGCGGAAACTAAACACTCCTTAAGTTTCTTGAAGGCAGCATCAGCTTCGGCAGACCAGACAAAAGGTGGTCCACCCTTCTTACTCGAAGTTAACTTGTTTAAGGGGCCTGCAATGGTACTAAAATTGGGGACGAAACGACAATACCAAGTAGCAGTCCCGAGGAAGCGCTTAACGTCCTTACGACATGTAGGTGTCGGGTAATTGAGGATTGCTTCCACCTTCTCAGGATCGGTACGTAAACCACTACTATCAACGACGTAACCCAGGTATTTGAGCTGACTGCGGAAGAATTGACATTTCTCTAGGTTTACAGTGAGGTTGGCCTGTTTCAGCTTATTAAGAACCCGAAGTAACAGGGAAACATGGGAATTGAAGTCGTTTGAGACGATAATAATGTCGTCTAGGTATGCAAAGACTTTGAGGTCAAATTCCCTAAATAACAGATCAACCAACCTTTGCTGTGTAGCCGGGGCGTTAGTTAAACCAAAAGCAGTGCGCTTAAAACGATAGGTACCGCGATTAGGCACATAAAAAGCAGTCTTGTCCCGGTCCTCCTGTGCTATAGGTATCTGCCAAAAGGCTTTGGATAAATCGATACTAGATAAGTAGCGAGCATCGCGAAGATTATCCAAGATCTCGGAAATGTAGGGTAGACTATAGGCGTCGCGCTTCGTGATGGAATTGAGCTTGCGGCTGTCGAGGCAAAACCGAGGCTGACCGTTTTTCTTCGTAACAATGAGAACTGGTGATGACCAAGCACTTTCGCACTGCTCAATTACGTCCAGAGCCAGCATCTCGTCGACCTGCTCGGCAAGGATCCGCTGCTTCTCTGGAGACAACCTATAGTACCTTTGACGAACTGGCTCAGCATCTCCCGTATCAATACGGTGAGTGACCAAACTCGTCTCGCCCAAACCCCGACGTTCGGCGGAAATGTCGCTAAATTGAGAAATGATGTCATCCGCCACTGATCTCTCCGAAACAGTTAAGTGGTCATACGCTTGTATGAAAGTGCTAGAATCGGTACTAAGGCTAGCATTCAATACTGCGGCATTAGAAAATGTAATGCTTGAGAAATGTCTAGGAAAAATGTTAAACTCGCGCCAAAAATCGATCCCCAACACGAGATCAATATTGATGTCTGGCACAACAAATGACTTAATTATATGGTACTCATTCTCAAAGTTTATAGGGAGAAACATATAGCCAATGCTGGTCATAGATTGACCCCCAGCAGCCGTGACTGTAATTAAGTTGTCCCTATGCAGCTGTAAACCCCGCTCCTCTAGCTTTCTATAAGCTTTATCACCTAAAATGGACACAGCTGAGCCTGAATCTAAGAGGCCAAATAGCTTAAAATCATTGATTTGTACACAAGCGTAAGGTCTAGGATCATGCAATGGTTTGTCCAGCAGAATTGTATCAACTTTATAAGAATTGAAGAAAACATTAACAGTGTTAAGCCAGCTCTGCCAATCTGGTCAATTGGTCACACTTGGGTGGCAGGACTTCAGTACAATTCTGCTGGTCTATCAGTTTTTTTTGAAGTGCTCGGTTTATCCTTGCCACACTTCGGACAGTCTGGTGACTTGACGCCTTCCTGGCCACAAACAAAACAAAATATTCTATCCCTATTTGCTTTGCATTGACGAAGGTTGTGGGTGTTATTACGACACCTAGGACAATAAGGAGACTTTTGGTACTGCTGTTGCATCGCATGCACATAATTATCATTTTTAGTATAAGTTTTATTACCTGTATTGTAATTATTGTTGCTTTTATTGTAAAAGTTATTGTAAGGTCTTTTATTGAAACTTTGGCCGCTGCCTTGATTAAACCTACTTGCAGACTGACCAGCGTAAGCAAACTCTGGCGCCAGTGTTCCTGAAGAGACCTTCGGAGGTTCGTGGAATCCCACTAGGCGAGCCTGAATGTTCTCGTAATTACGACAGAGCGAACGCAAGGTGTCGAGGTCTGAGATCTTCGGGACAGAAGCTAAGGTGCTGGCGTAGCATGGGCGGATGTTATGTAAAATGATCTCAAGTTTGTCTTCGTTAGACAGGCTCTTGGACAAACGTGAGAATAGCCCAGTCATAATAGAAATGTAAATAGTTATATTTTCAGACTCGCCCTGAGTTCTGGCCCGAATCTCCGACAAGAGTCTGTAATCATAATCGGCCTGGTCGAAATCTTCTCTAAGAAGGGAAACTAACTCGTCCCAATTAGATACCTGGTCCCGAATGGCACGATACCAATGCAAGGCATCGCCGGTAAAAATCTCAGCGCAGTAAGACAGCAGTTTTTCCCCCGGTATATTCCTCGACTGGCTGTATTCATTGATGCGCTGGATAAATGCACGAACGCAAGATTTGCCGTCGAACTTAAACTTAGTGAACTCACTAGCCACGCCGCGCTCACAAGTTACGTTAACGTTGAGAGGTAAAGCAGCAGTAGACTGAGGGTCTCTAGATGCCAGAGAAGGGGTGGAATCAGTAGCAGTAATAGCATTATAGCGTTCCAAAAGTCGCCTGTATTCCGAAACACACGTATCCACCACCCCTTGCTGGGTCGTGCTATCACAAACTATACGGTTGAGTCGATGATGGAGGTGGTTAATGAGGTTGCGAGCACGAAGCAACGCATTCCCATCGCTAGGCGCCTCGATATATGCTCTTAGCTTAATTAAAGCATCGCTGACTCCCTTTAAATCATCGCCGACAGACAAAACGCTCTCGAGAATGTCCTCCGAAGGAAAGAGTGGACCTAATTTAGCAATCTGCTCGCGTAACTCTCTGACTGTGTCAGCCGGGGTGGCACCTCTAATGGCAACTTCGTATTCTAACTCCGACTTTTGCAACGATAGAAATTTAACCGAGTGCGCCATTATAACACGTGTATAACCGCAAAGAGGTAAGTGTTGAGTCGTTACTGACTTAATCTACTCCGTTCCGTTACAATTATAATATCAGGTACTAAGAACGTTCTGGTTGACTAAAACGATTGGCGTATAAAAGAAGCAGTAAAAAGAATAAAGCAACTGCCACCAAAATAAAAGAAGCAGCGCAACAAAAAATTAAAATACGCAACTAATGTGTACTCGAACAATTAAATAAAACAACAACAAGATAATAATAATATGCCTAAGAATTAAAAAATAAAAAACAATTGATTGAATAATTTAAAATACTACCAACGTATGCGTGACTCAACTGAACTAGAGTTCTGCAGCAACAATAGGGGATAGTTACAATTCATAAAATTTCAATAATAATAATATCACAGAAGGAAAAAAAAACCACGAGAAAAAAAAACTACTGCAGAATAGAATAGTAATACCTCGGAACAATATTAAATTTACCCTATCACAGATTACACAGTGACCACTCTGCACGCTAACTACTCTGTACAATGATAGAACGTAAACAACATAGGGTAGTGCACGGCATAGAGTGATTACGAAAAGTTGTTCGAAACTAAACAAATTCTTAGTTAGGGATTAAAGTTTATGATCTCTCAAATAATAAAAGTAAATAAATAAATCAATTGAAATTCAATAAAATTCCTAAAACAAACACAATAATGAAATTCGTACACATTAGTTGCTGCAACCAAAAAACAAAAAAAAACAAAAACGTTTCACAAACACAAAACGACACAAACACCAACTACTCCTACGCAGTGAAACCAGACCTTTTTTTACCACGTTTATGGGCGCCAGTGTGGCGGTTGTGGTTTAAAATAAGTCGACAACCAGTCATAAAAAAAATTATATATTGGTAAAAGAAAAGGTCGTGGGCGTGGTTCCGATAATTTTAAAAAAAAAATGCCCGTCTGGCTTCACTGGCAGGGTCAGGTACTCCCCTATGTGGCCGCGAGGTGGTCGAGCAGGGCCGGGGGGTTGGACTGTTCACCGGGAGCGCCGTGGGCAGCTGGCTGTGGCGGTGGCGGCGTCGAGGGGAGGCCTAGGCCCCCTTAAAAAAGGACGACCGCCACGGTTGTAGTCGTAAAATTGCACCCTGGAAACAACGTCGTCCAAATTTAGGTCCAGGTAATAAAATGCCGCCGATTATGAACCCCCGGTATATCGCAGGCTAGCAGTAGATGGGAGCACGGAGAGTAGCTGGCGGGTGTTCATAATCAGAACGGAGTTACAAGGCGGAATGGAAGGCAAGCGTCATAGCGGTGAGGCGCAATTAAAATACACATGAATTAAAATTACGGCAAGTGTAAAATACTGTTTAAATGTACCAGGATAACTAATTTAGGCTGTGCATTGGTTGAAACATGATGGTGACTTGCGATATTTGATCGCGGTGCGAAATGTATGAGACGCCATTTTGTAACGGTACTTTTGCCAACGCGCACAGCGGCTACATACATTACTTACATGCAAATAACACTAATAACGTGGCAATTAAATAGCTAAAAGCAAACAGCCTGGCATGATCAAATTACACTACCTATAAAACACTTTCACTACTTAAAACTAGGTAACGTTTCAACACTTACCCTTACGGGGTGCAAGACGATACGGAGGTCTCGGTGACGAGAATTAGCGAAAAAAACTATACGGCCACAGTGCCGGAATTATTATATTATTTTAAACTTTTTCCAAAATGGGATTAAAATTTGCAAGCGCGTACGAGGACACAAAGCAGAGCTTGTGAACGCGGCTGCAGTGGTAGTGTGCGCCTCCCAGGGCGCTCGGGCGGAGAATGGTCGGGAGCGCGACGCCGTGGAATAATACCGGCCGGGTAAAACTCTGACGCGAGAGTTGCAAGGCGCATAGAGTAACGAAGCGTCAGAGTGTTTGTTCGAAATACAATATTTTAATATTTGATTTATTATTTAATTCGTTCTTTTAGTTTACTGATTTGTTTTATTAATAGGATACCTAAGTTAATTATAGAATTATTTTTGTTAATAACTTTTAATTTATTTTTATTTAGTTTATTAAATGTTTATTTAATTTTAATAAACCGTTTAATTATAATTATGCATACATGTACGTGCAACGTTACAAAACTTAGCCTTAATAACGCTGTGTTAAAATATTATATGGTTTGTATGAACATAAAACCTTCGTCTATCAAAAAAAATCTTTAAATGCTACATAACTCTTTCATTCACTCATGTCTTCAATCGTTTCGAAATAAAGTATAACATTTCTTTTACAAAAAAAATCTTTTATTAGAAAATCGCAATATTTACAAATGAATGAGTAAATACAACATTTCCTTATGATAAAACTTTTTCTTACATGATGGTTAACTTGGATACAAGAAACAAGAAAACTAAACAATTGAAATGAAATTAAAGAAATCACAGTCAAGACATTTTATGTTGTCGAATTATAGATTTGGTGTTTTATGTGGAGCAGTATTTATACTCAAATAAAAAAAAACCTAGAAATGTCGTTGTATTGTACAATGTGTCAGATATTACGTAACCAAATGAAATCCATAGATACATATATATTTTGTGTTTAATTTAGTAGGGAACTCTCTAATAAAACATGTATAATTATAATTATACATGTTTTAGGAGATTTTTATTACTGTATTATAAATGTGATTAACTTTGGCGAAAGCTAAATAAACGTTTTACTCTTTCAAAATACATTCTATACCCTTTTTCTTCGGCATATTAAGTCACAAATGAATGACCAAAGAGTATGAAGTATTTTTTTTACAATTTACGAATTATTTTATAACACATGGTATAATATTATTTACTTGTTTTTATTAAAATGCACCGTAATCGTAAATAACTAATTTTTTCTAAAAAACTTGATGACCAGACCTATGGCAACATTTTGAGAACATTCTGAAAATATTTAATACTTATTTTATACCTAGATAATATTATTAGGCGTAAAGTTATGTATCGTATTAAGGTATATTAGACAGTTTATTGTGTCTCAGTGAATCATTCCTAACGAATGTTAATTTGTGTTGACCGAAAAGATTATATGTGTGTTGACACAGAACACAGATATCATATTGTTCACAGAATATAAAAAGCAAGAGGATATAGCAAAACGCATAATTTGAATTAGAACCTCTGTCGCCAAACTCACACATTCGCAAAAAATAAGTGTGTACCGACAGTTGGGTACCATTTTAATGCCTCGTTGGTCTAGTAGCTGTAAGCGCGACTGATGATTATTAGGTCCCGGGTTCGCATTCCGGGTCGGGTCAAAAAATATCATTTATTGAGTTTTAGTCAAAAACTTCTCAGTACCTGCCCGGAGTCAGCAAGTTGACGGTGTTTCACCACGTGCCTCGGAAAGGACGTAAAGCCGTTGCTCTCTCTTCCTGTCGTGCCAGTTTACCGTCCCATCTTATTATGAGAGTGAGGGAACAGAGAGAGCACCTGTGCTTGCGCATACACTTGGGCACTATAATCCTGTCCTGCACCGATGGCTGAGTAGAGCCCACCTTGACCGAAATTTAGGACTAATGTCCTCCAGACAAATTTCAATTGAAACGGTATTAATATACGGTTTCAATAATTTCAACATTGAGTAACTCTTTATTGCTAAAAATAATTTCATCGACATGGCGCAATGCTGATGAACGATAAACGAAAAAGTAGACAATTGTTTTTGGTCCTACTAGAAATTTTAAAGTAACTTAATGGTAGGCATAAAAATACCAATTTATTACAGTAAACGTCCTAAAGATTTCATGAAAATCTAACCGGAAACATGAAATAATATAATGTAATACTACATGAGTACATGAAATACTCACTAAATAATCAATACATGTAGAAAATAGTTTCCACATAATGTTTGTTTTTTGTGAACTATGTTATTCCGTAACTACTAAAAGCATTTTCCATCAATCTTAAAGTACATATAAACTATGAATGTACCTACAACTTTGTTTTATACCATCAATTACTGAACAGTGCACTATTTTAACTTATAATACCTTTTGAAAGTACTAGACAATCGCTTTTAGTTTGTTTTTAGGTTATTGTGACATTCATATTTTAAATTTTCATCTCAGTATTCCCGTTAGATGCGGTAAAAGTAATATTACTATTGTAATCTATACATTATAAGGAATAAGTCGACATTTTATTAAGTTACGTTTTCTGCTATCATTTGGAATGATTCATTGAGTATGAGATGTACAAAAGAAACGTGTAAGCCATTTAGAACAACCAAAACTGTTTTTAAAAGGCATTAATCAGTAAATATTATAGTTATTTATGAGTATTAAGCTATAGTAATTGTGTGTATGGGTATGTATTTATATATTTATTCTTTAGTTTTCTGTTCTAACTGTTTAATTCTAATCGGCACTTGGACAGCTGGCAAATCGACACTTTTGGCGCGTCGGCGGCCATTTTCTATTTCTCTGGTTGCGCGACGCGCTTCTGGCGGGAGCGGCTGCAGCTCGGGCAAAGTCGGCCGCTTTCGGACGAGTTCAGGCGTGCGAAGAGTTCCTCCTGTATGGCATATTGAAAATTCATTATTATTATTTAATTAAAAATGCGAAAGAAAATTTAATGTTTTACTATAAAAATGGTTTTAATTTATATTGTTATCAATACGCGCTTGTAATCCTCCTGGTAGATATTGGTTGAATTCTATTGGACTATGGCCAGCTGTGGAACTCGAACAAAAAATAAAATAAAATAATTAACGAGTAGTGGCGGTGTAAGAGTAACCACTATCCCTTATCGTTCCGTGACTATCGTAAAAGGCAACAGAGACTCAAGAGAACAAAAAACTGCAGTTACCAACGCGCGTGCCAAGCGTGAAAATTTTGACAAAGTCCTTTGAGACAATCTATGGTGGATACCTATGTTCAGTAGTAATGGTGGTTAATATAGCGCATAGCACCATATTATAGCGCGCTATCTCTTTAAAACGCATAGCGAGTGCTATGTAAGTCGCCATGGCGCTATGACGCTATGACGCTTTGGGGCTATTCATATCAAGCGGCAATTAATTCTAACAGCAGCGCTGTTTGTAGTAGACGTGTGATGCAAATTTAATCTAGCAGCACGCTATTCATCGCGCGAACTAATTTAGTGTTAGACGTTATTTAGTTAGTGTATACTGTATATTTATAAGTGATCGAAGGACACAGTTGTTTGCTACAAAAGAGGCCTAACTAATGTTTTTAAATGTAAATAAAATATATATATATATATACAAAAGTGTATATAATAGTGTTTGTGATTAGTTGATTTTTGTATATACAATTAATAAACTTTTAAATACACCTTTGATTTATAATTTATAGTAAGGTTAAAATAACGTTTACATCATTTATAATAAAAAATGATTAATTTTATATTGTTTTAAAAAGTACAGTCCTTAAAAATATTTTTAGGATTATAAAAAGTATGAAAGAGAGTTCTTTAATTTTTATTTAGCACTTTACTTTATTTTAATCTAAAATGCGACCTATTACGAAACAATGTTCTTATACAGCGGTCTATCCAATCGACATGTAATGGAGCGTGCTCCGAGATATAGTATAGCGTGCTGCTAAACTTAACGCGCTTGCCGGCCTCCTACACACTTTTTTATAAATAGCGCGCTATAACATAGCGTATTTAATAGCGCGCTAGAAATTTCTAGTTTATAGTCTGTAGCGTGCTATTGATTTATAGTCGTTTTGAACAACTTTATTCAGTAGTAGACATTTATAGACCGTAATGGAATGGACACTTACAATCGCGTGCTCTATTATTATCACGTCTAAATCCAACACGATATCAACTTTTTCACTAGGAAATACTCTTCACTGCGGACAATACGTATATTATATAGGTTACGGTCAATAATGACATATTTTCGGCACAGACAACGATAATGTTGGTTTCCAGTTGTGTTTTGTTTACTACAGGAATTCCCAAAATATTTTCAGCAAGAAACCCCTTTTTCAAAATAAACTGATACCTCAGACCCCCATTAATTAATGAAATTACTTTAAAAAAATCTCAAATTTTTCCCTATTGATACAAAATATTTATCAATTTAAAAACTTTGCGGTTGGTTAAGTGTGTAAATTTGACATATTTATTTTTAATTTACAATATTGTACCCGTTTCGTTTGTACCCGTATATACGGGTGACAAACGAGCACACAGTCCACCTGATGGTAAGTGGTTGGTGTGGCCCACAGATACCTACATCTATCCTCGATTACGAATCAAAATGCAGATGCGTTGTCACCCGTGAGGATTAAGATGGAATGCCCCGTTTCTTGTAAAAAGGGTCTCCAGTTCTCTACACTCACCATAAGAAACACAGCGGTGTTCAGCTGCAATTTTATGCTAGTATTTTGTGAAAGCGTGGCGTTTCCCCGTTCGAGCAGACCCATTCGTATCACAACTATACTACTAACATAGCTGCAGTATGTCTCTACCACGTCTACTTAATCCGCGCGGAATTCAAACCCGCGACTCTCAATTCAATGAAATGAGAGTCGCGGGTTTGAATGAAATCCAAAAAAAAAAATTCAATGTGAAACCATTGCGTCATGAAGTCCTCCAAATATTAGAGTTACAAAAAAGATATAGAAACAAAGAAAGAGAGTAAGAGATAGCCTGTAAATTAGAGATTCCCAAAGTGGTCGATATCGACCTTGGGGTCGAAATCGGTTTCCCAGGGATTACGGTCCACATAAACGATAACTGATTTTGGGGATCAACGATGTCTAAAAATCAACCCCTGTTAATAATGAATGAAAATGAAAATGTATAGATGTTTGTTGTGTATAAGTGTTTGTCTCTTTTTAGTGTCACTTTTCCTTTCATCGAGTTTCAAATCACAATGATGCTTAAGAGGTTTTCACACGGTAGAAGTGACACCTTCAAAGAAAAGGGTAACTAGACAACAGGAAACACTGTATACCATATTCTATCTCATTTTCCCGCAGGATTTACACTATAGATGTATATGTTTGTCTCTTTTTAGTGTCACTTTTTCTTTTCATCGAGTTTCAAATCACAATGATGCTTAAGAGGTTTTCACACGGTAGAAGTGACACCTTCAAAGAAAAGGATAACTAGATAACAGGAAACACTGTATACCATATTCAATCTCATTTTCCCGCAGGATTTACACTGTAGATGTATATGTTTCTCTTTTTAGTGTCACTTATTCTTTTCATCGAGTTTCAAATCACAATGATGCTTAAGAGGTTTTCACACGGTAGAAGTGACACCTTCAAAGAAAAGGATAACTAGATAACAGGAAATACTGTATACCATATTCTATCTCATTTTCCCGCAGGATTTACACTATAGATGTATACGTTTCTCTTTTTAGTGTCACTTTTTCTTTTTATCGAGTTTCAAATCAAATGATGCTAAAGAGGTTTTCACACGGTAGAAGTGACACCTTCAAAGAAAAGGGTAACTAGACAACAGGAAACACTGTGTACCATATTCTATCTCATTTTCCCGCAGGATTTACACTATAGATGTATATGTTTGTCTCTTTTTAGTGTCACTTTTTCTTTTCATCGAGTTTCAAATCACAATGATGCTTAAGAGGCTTTCACACGGTAGAAGTGACACCTTCAAAGCAAAGGATAACTAGATAACAGGAAACACTGTATACCATATTCTATCTCATTTTCCCGCAGGATTTACACTATAGATGTATATGTTTCTCTTTTTAGTGTCACTTTTTCTTTTCATCGAGTTTCAAACCACAATGATGCTAAAGAGGTTTTCACACGGTAGAAGTGACACCTTCAAAGAAAAGGGTAACTAGACAACAGGAAACACTGTGTACCATATTCTATCTCATTTTCCCGCAGGATTTACACTATAGATGTATATGTTTCTCTTTTTAGTGTCACTTTTTTTTTTCATCGAGTTTTAAATCGCAATGATTTTTAAGAGGTTTTCACACGATAGAAGTGACACCTTTAAAAAAAAAGGGTAACTAGACAACAGGAAACACTGTGTACCATATTCTATCTCATTTTCCCGCAGGATTTACACTATAGATGTATATGTTTGTCTCTTTTTAGTGTCACTTTTTCCTTTCATCGAGTTTCATACGATTCATACGACAATAAGAAGGATTCACTTCAAACTTCAAAACCAGCTTACCCTTTCGTCGCGGTGCATTCTGTTGCGTCTCAGACGCTAGAGGCGCGGCCCTGGAGAAAAAAGACTCCTCGTTCTTGGCGACGTTCTCACAGCCGTCAGCTCGGGTGCGCGTCCCCAGTTTCGGTGAACTGCAATACAAATTTAAAAAAATTACGTGGTAGAGCCACGCTGCAGCTATATTATAGTTATAGCACGAATGGGTCGGCTCGACCGGGGCAGGACCACGCTCTCACAGAATACCAACGTAATGCTGCTGTGTTTTGTATGTTGAGTGCAGAGAGTTCCATCTTAGTTCTCAGGGCTGACAACGCATTTGCATTTGTATTCTTAATTGAAGATAAACGTCTTCCATTTTGACTACAACTGCAGGACCACAGTCAGGCATATATTCGTCGCGAAGACTCAGGTGTCATTAGCATTTCAGAACGAACAAATTCTCGATGCGAATATTCTCACTGAACTGCTCATGTCAGTCGCAAGCTTTACAATAGCCATTATACGATTAGCGTACAACTATGTGAAATAATTTGCCAGCATCTCTCTTTCGATCCGAATACAAATTACAATGTGATACACTAAATATCAGAATTTTTAACGTTATAATAACGTTATAATGGTATCGTTACTTAAGCAAGCCTATCGTTTTCAATATTTAGTATAACGTTTTAAGAGTAACGGAACGAAATTGTGACAGGCATGCCGTGTATTGGCGGCGTAAGAGACTAACTACTACACTACACTAGACAATATCAACACGTGAGTGTGGTAAGAGATGACAGAGGGATATGAAAAAGGAGACGGGCAGCAGCATTATACTGACAACAGTTTAAAATAACAAACAATTGCGGTGGACAACCCGCCTTCTATATTCCCGCGTGATAACTTAGGCAAATATCCCCTATAAGAGGTAACCTATGGAAGGGGGGAGGGGGAGCACGTTCGACAGTGCACTTTTGACGAGCTGTAATGAAGATGAAGTATATGATAATGTAGGTGTTTTAAAGGTTTTACTTTATAGCTTTATTGGATGACAAACGAGCACGCAGTCCACATGATGGTAAGTGGATGCTTTGGCCCGTAGACATCCGCATTTATCCTCAAATAAGAATTAAAATGCATATGCGCTGTCAACCCTGAGGACTAAGATGAAAGGCCTCGATTCCAGTAAAACGGATCTCCGGTTCTCTACACTCACCATACGAAACACAGCAGCGTTACGCTGCTATTTTACGTGGTATTCTGTGGGAGCGTGGTCCTGACCCGGTCGAGCCGACCCATTCGTGCTACAACTATAATATAGCAGTAGCATGGCTCTACTACGTAAAATGGTAGGAGTAAATAGGTGTTTGATAAGATAAGTCGGTGCGCTTTACTAACTTCAGGTGCATCGCCACTTAGTTATATCATAAGCTTACTCCTTTTTTAAAAGGCTGGCAACGCACTTGCTATTCCCCTGGTGTTGCACTTTTTCTGTGGGAGAGGGCGCAAACCAGCGTACTACCTGACGGTAAGTGATTATCGTCATCCATGAACAACTGCAACACCAGGGGAATTGCAGATGCGTTGCCAGCCCTTTAGAAAGGAGTAAGCTCTTTTCTCTCCCTAAGTTGTATCGGTCCGGAAAAATCTCTGGTGGTAGTCGATTCGACAAGGAAGTGGAGGAAGAAAACTTCTTTTAAATAGCAATCCACCACGGTGGACCGCCAGTCATCCAGATGATATGGATGATATCTCACTTGTGCGTGGGTGCTGTCAGTCTATCCGGCTCTTACAGCTTAATTTGATACGAGGCTCACGGCCTCAAAGGCCGCGGGCTGTATAAAAATGGAAAGGCGATGATGATAAGGATGATGATGCTGATGGTCTATAATTTGGTATTGTTACCATTCATGTTAACAAGAGTTATCTAGCCCCAGTCCGAGTGGGGATCCGATCCCTCCTCTGAATGCTCAGCTCGTGTCAATGTTCTGGGCGGTAAGAAACGCCCAGGTACGCGGGTGTGCGATGTTAACGCGATGTGTGCTCGTGCGTCATCCGTTAACTTACTTGTGCTTATCCCATTTGCTGTGGGGGTAGTCTCAACGTTTGATGTAGCTGCGACGTTTGGGTCAACGGGATCGAGCGTGTTACCATCAGGTGAGTCATATGCTCGTTTTCCCTCACCTCTATAAAAAAAAAACTTACCACCAGGCGGGATAGTAATCAAGCATTAGCAATACTAACTATTGGTTAAAAAGAAAACAAATTGGTTATTTGGCTGTTAGGTTAAGTTATCACTAGCGTTCAGAGGAGAACCGCAAGTCCAGGGTCCGTTTTTCAAGCAGTCAACATTTATGAAAATATTTGTCGTTTTTGTGGTCGGATGTTATGATAACCTCATGTCTATTGGTGGAGATTTTATTTAAAAAAAATAACTGAGAAATTAACTAAATGTCCATCTGATGATGATGCTACTCCAGTCAACTTGAAATAAAGAAGGTGAGAGACGCGTTGAGGTCTAAGCTGTAATGCCTCATGGCCTGTAATGCTACTGACTCTCTATATCCTGCAGACTGGAACTAAGCAGTGCAAACACTGTTATTTCGCGGCAGAAATAAACAAGAGAGTGGAACCAAATACGTGGTAGAGCCATGCTGCAGCTATATTATGATGTAGCACGAATAGGTCAGCTCGATCGGGGAAGGACCACGTTGCCACAACATACCAGAGTAAAATAGCAGATTAATACTGCAGTGTTTCTTATGGTGAGTGTAGAGATCCGGAGACCCGTTTTACCGGAATCGAGGCACTCCATCTTAGTCCTCAGGGATGACAACGCATCTGCATTTTGATCCTTAATCGGGGTTGAATGTGGATGTCTATGGGCCACAGCATCCACTTACCATCAGTTAGACTGTGTGCTCGTTTGTCACCCTTATCCTATATAAAAAATTGGTTGACCCAGCAGGCTATCCCTGGAACTTCCCGCTAATTTCAAATGCAAAGCGCTCCAAATTTTACGGAATTATGTTGCGAAATCTTGAAGTTATGTTAAAAAAAAAAACCGTTTTTTTTTTCAAGTTCTTTCTTCTGCGATATCTCACGAACGAATAAACCGATTTTTACTTTTCAAACGGCATTCGACGTCATTTTTTGTGGTTATGAGTTTAGTTTTTGAAATCGTTCGGTAAAGCCGTTAAAAAAGTTATTCCAAAAAAAAAACAGATTTTTTAAATTTTGATTTTGAGATTTCTCAAAAATAATACACACACAAATCCGTACGGACGTCCACGTGAAATTAATCAGAATAGCTTCCTGGGATCTCAAAACGTCAAGATCTGATGAAAACTCGATTTTCAAAAATCGGGGTGAAAACATTAACTTCCCTATTTTTGAAAATTTCCAATTTCTTAGCGGGGAGTTAAAAAACCCAGACAGACTCCCAGACAGAAAAAGTGTACAACCTCCTAGAGTTTTTATCTAAGTACCTTTACCTTTGTTCCACGAGTATTTTGGTGAGTCGGGCCACTTCAGCCCTGAGGTAGTGTAGTTCCTTCTCTCTCGCACGCGCCTCTTGTTCCGCGGAACGTTCTCGAGCCGCAAGTCGAGCACGCATGTCATCAAAACTGAAATTTTATTAAAATTGTTTATTTAAGGTGGTACCCTGACCAAAACCTGGCAAAAGTGCGTTTTTCAGAGACTATTATCTCATTGTTATGGAAATAAGCTACATCTAAAAGTACATTATTAATGTTCGATATCCTATCATCACAATTCCACGTTCTAATTTGTTTTTATGTGTTATGAATACATTTAAAATCTACTTTTAAAAAATGACTAAAATTATTGATTACATGCATCTGTTGCTAAAGGAAATGCTCTAATCATTTGAGAATTACACTAATGGATAGATAATTTAAAAATCTATATTCTACACGTTTTATTTAATTTTTTAAGTTCGTCGAGTTATCTCTTTTAATTGAAATAATTCCAAATATTCGGGCGTATTTTTCCGTGAAATGTTGTAGCGAGAGCGCGTGGATTGTATGGGACCGAACGCTCAAGGTCTCTCGCTAGGGGAACCGTCTTAACAATTTGATCGCGTAGCGTAGAGGTATAAGAATATCAACCCCATATCTGGGTGTAGAATCCAACCATATCGTGGGTGTCTTAGAATATCAGACTAGTTTTGAATATCCAGATGTGAGGACCCCATATCCCGTGGGTGTCTTAAGAATATCCAGGACCCCATATCCCGTGGGTGTCTTAAGAGGCGACTGAGAGAAGCAAATCAGGCGACGGGCAGCATCATCTTTCTAATAAGGAATAAAAAAGCGGCCAAGAGCGTGTCGGGCCACGCTCAGTGTAGGGTTCCGTAGTTTCCCGTCCGGCACAGTAAGTGTTCCCACTTATGAGTTTAAAGGTGGGTATCCATTATGTTCGCGCTCCAGCAGCGCTCATCGCTCCTGCAACTGCTCCCGGTAGTGGGTACTGTTGTTTGCATCCAAGTTTAAAATGATTTTCCTAGAAAGTCCTTATAAAGTTCTACCTTTCAGATTTTTTTCATATTTTCTAAACCTTATGTTCAAAAGTTAGAAGGGGGGACACATTGTTTTTTACTTTTGGAGCGATTATTTCCGAAATTATTGACATTATCAAAAAATTTTAGTAAACCCCTATTCATTTTTAAATACCTTTCCAACAATAAATCACACGTTAGGGTTGAAATTAAAAAAAAATCACTTCCTACTTTACATATAGGGGGGCTACCCTAATAAAACATTTTTTTCCAATTTTTATTTACCACTTTGTCGGCGTGATTGATACACATATTGGTACCAAATTTCAGCTTTCTAGTGCTAACGGTCACAGAGATTAAGCGAGGACGGACAGACGGACAGACAGACATGGCGAAACTATAAGGGTTCCTAGTTGACTACGGAACCCTAAAAACAAACAACTGCGGTTGTTAACTCGCCGACCTAGCGTGGCAACTTCGGCAATTAACTCTCTTCTGAGGTAATTTATGGGGGAGGCCTATGTTCAGCAGTGGGCTTCTGGGCACTACTGGACACTGATTACCTCTTATAGAAAAAGATTCAATACAGTTACAGGTAGAAACAGGAGATGGAACGCACCATCTGGCTCATAATTCAAAATGATAAAAATTGCCGTTGGCATACTGTCGGCCAAAAGTGGCAATTGTTTTTTTATAGCATTGGGTGACAAACGAGCACACAGTCCACCTGACGGTAAGTGGATGCTGTGACTCATAGACATCCAGATTTATTATCAAATAAGAATCAAAATGCAAATGCGTTGTTATCCCTGAGGACTGTGATGGAATACATCGATTCCAGCAAAAAGTATCTCCGGGACTCTAAGCTCAATATGAAACACAGCAGTATTGTGCTGCTATTTTAAGTGGTATTCTGTGAGAGCGTGGTCCTGCCCTGGTCGAGCCGACCCATTCGTGCTACAACCATAATATAGCTGATGCGTGGCTCAACCAGGTAAAATCTGAATATCTCCTCCAATGAATTCGCTTTCACTGTAGCCCCATGTTAATTTAAACTGGGTATGTGATTGTGTAACACTAGTGCGAATTATGATAAGCTTCGTTTTTACATTAGTCTTTTAGTTTCAGTGTTGTGTAAATATATAGGTTCATTTCATAAGCTCACGTGTTTAATATATTATACGTGGTAGGGCTATTCTGCAGCTATATAGTGATTGTGGCTAGGAATGCGTCGGCTCGACCGGGGAATGACCACGCTCGCACAGATTACCAGCGTAAACTAGAAGCTTAATGGTTCCGCATTTCGTACGGTGGGTGCTAAGAAGCGGAGACCCTTTTTATTGGGTAAGAGGCATTACATATCAGTCCTGAAGGGAGAAGTATCTGCAGTTTGATTCTTAATCGAGGAGAAATGTGAGCCTGTCTATGGGACACAGCATCCACTTACCGTCAATGGACTGTGTGCTCGTATGTTACCTTATTATATACAAGATACTAAGTAAACTTGTGGCTATGGAGTGTAGAGGTAAAGAGTACAGACTTTGTATTAAATAGTGTCCATAGAAACCGTTAAATAAGGGTGGCGCCAATATATCTACGGGGTAAATTTTAAAGAACGTGCCGAAAAATATTAGTGATAGACGACTTTTTCGAGGTTATATTTACTAAATAAAATTACTTTAGATTTTAGGGCTACTGAGCAGTTTAGCAGCACACTTAAACCGTCGACAACTGCTAAGTTCATTTCATCCCAGTATCTACTCCAGCGCTGTTGTGGAGAGTTTTTGAACTATTATTTATTGCTTACAGATGGCCACTTCAACTATTCTCCTATGAGAGATTGTCCTCCTTACTTCTACACTCCATACTTGTGGCCGTGGCGAAGTGAACAAAAATGAGTTTTGGCCTCAGTAATAATATCTCGTTTTATGTTACGATAAATTATTATGTTGAAAAGACATAACGCAGTTGCGGGAATCATTTCGTGATAAGTGAAAACGTTTTTTTTTAAACTTTATAGATAAATGTGTATATTACGTAGTTAATTATAATGTTTATTTTGTTTTTTATTCTATATTGCTACACCTACGTCAAATTCTCACCACTCCATAGGTTGACTTTGTATTCTATTTTTTTTTAAATTGCAATGCAATTTAATTAAATGCAATATAGAATAGATAAATAAATATTTTTATTAAGCTTTTAATCCATATAATTTCGCTACAGTAATTGTTGAAAATAAGATTTAAAATTTTGTAATAATTAATATTTAAGCTAACTTTTTTATTAAACTTATAAACATAACATTTAAAGGTCATGAACATTAGAAGGGTATCGAAATAAAAAATAAAAATAAAACACAATGCACTTACAGCTTCCGCAAACATGCGCATTTTCTTGTTAGGTGTTCAATCTGTTCTCTTGAAGTTTTCTCCATTTGTTTGAGCTTCGCGGCGTCTTCTCCTCTCTTCTCCATAGCCTTCTTCTCCCGCGCAAGAGCCTCTCTATTAGACGGTTAGTAGGATTTGAGGAAAAACGTTCGTCAAATGTCATCGGTAAAGTTATCTACTGATTTGTATTAAAATAATTACATTGGAACCATGGGAAGAAAATCAAGTATTAGTTAATTTTAGTTTAATTGCATTAATAATAATATATTTTCAAAACCAGAAATTGAAATTGTGTTTCAAAATTTTGATTTGTGTGCTTATGATTGGTTCGACCATATATGTACTCTGGTTTAAAGGATATCTTTAGTATCTCAAAATAAACAACTTACTCAAAATTCCAATAATTTTAATAATTTCAAAGTTCACATAAGAAATATGTTATGTATAAAAATATAAAAAACTAAATAAGTTAAATAATAAAATAAACTATTGTATAGTTCACAACACATTTGAGCAAAATTAAAAAGAACAAGCTGTTTTTTTACATATGCTAAATATTATTTAAATAAGCTATTATAATGAATAACCATAGAAATGGAAAATTATAAAATAGTTAAATCATAAAATATAAATATGACATGAAAATGACTAGACACATTACGAATATGATAATGAATTTAATATATATTTAAAATACCAAAGAAAAATATAGTACAAAAGGCAATATTCGAAAGAGCATCGTAAACTTAAGGCGACACCGTGAAAAAATGCATCTCCTTTCATCGAATATTATAAGGACTATGACACCACTAACGAAAGTGGAATTTTGATATAGGTAAATTCATGTCTTTATCTTGAATTTGATTGTTCAAAAACACGATTGTATAATTTTGACTCGATCATAATTATTTGCGAAAACACCTCTAAAAAGTCACTATGGTTGAAATTATAACGAAATTACTTAATCTATATGCTTGGGGATTACTCAAATATATTCATAACATCAATATTCTTATATTTGCTTGCTCATTATTTTGATTACTTAAATCAATAATTTAAAAAAAAAATATTTTAAGATTCTGACAATTTCTAAGCGCTTTTAATCGTCGCGGGCGCTACGCAATTTTAGACCTTATGACGGCGTTTCTTCAAGTTTTTATAGAAATTATGTATTCACTCGGATCAATACAGCGATAGCTTTTTCGATGTGTCGTCTTAAGCTGAAGGTATAATAGTCAAAATAGAAAGTCTCAATATTTGTAAAATGATGAATGATTGAAAGCTATAATTTTTATTTCGAATGTATTATTTATTAAATTTAAACGCTTTTCTTCTAACGATTTCGTAAGTTCAGTCCAATTAGGCAGTACAATTAAGTAAAATTAAATGTTTTACTATTTATTATAAAACAATATATTACAATATCTTAGTATTCACACCTTAAACTGTTTACTATAGTGTTAAAATTAATAGTTAAGTAACCATTAATTTTAAAGTATTTGAAGAATTTTTAGTTAAGTATTTTTGAGGGTGCTTTTTTTCTTGTTAACAATTTTGATATAAAACAAGAGTGCGAGCGAGAGGAAAAACGTTGCGAGAGCGAGGCGCAGCGATCCCACGAACACGCACGCGCTCGACGCAGCGACCAAAGCTCCAAGCCAACTCCAACTGCCGGGATAACGCCATCTTGTATACTCTACTATTCATGTCTATTATCATCCTACTTCAAATAAGGGGGGAGGTTCTCAATTCAGCTATTTTTTCTATGTTTTACCTAATAATTTTTTTCCAGGTAAACCTATTCTTTTTTATTTGAAAGCTGGTGCTTCTCATGTGGTCACATATAAATTTGATCAAGATCTGACTAATAATTTTTGAGTTATACTTAATAATGCGTATTTAATTGACTTTGACTACAATGATGATGATTGATGATTTTATTTATATTGAAGTCGGTTGTCGGTTGTACAAAATTTTTAATTTTACCACTTGTGTATTTTTAATCTGATCGAACTGTTAATTTTTATTCTATGCAAAATTCTATTATGATCTATGACTACATATGTTGTTTTTGGCGGTTACATACAAATCTAAAATTATATTACAAGTAAAACATTTTAAATACTGCCTTTTGGACGTCATTTTTTAAGAAATGAGGTGATTTGTTATAAGTATGTAGTTATAATAAAAAGTGAACCTTTAAAAAGTGTTTGTGTTTTGAAATATAATATAATTATACATGTTATAATACAATGAACATAACATGCAAGTGGTAGCTAAATTTGCCCAAAAGACAATATTTATAATTTATAAATTAGTATAAAAACTCCAACTAGATTTATAGACATTTAAAATTTTAAAAACTGTGTGTAAAATTTACGCTTTTGCGACATATTTGCTACCAATTATAATTGGGATTTAAAACAAATGATAAACGATTTAGTGAAAATCCTGAAAAATCAAAGCAATCGCTGAATATTTTTGCAAATAAAGCTGGTTAAACAATAAAGGAATACGATTTAAATATGCATTAAAGCATATTTTAAGGAATTATTGTTAATTTTGATTGCTGAACAAATTAATAAGTAGTAGGCAGGCAAGCACAATCATTCGCAGTGATCGATTCCTTACCTCAGTTCTTGTTCGGTGACGGCAAGCGTTTGTCCGCAAGCTACCGCTTTAGCTTCTAGATTATCAAAGTCAACTGTTTTCGACTCAATCTGAGTTTTCAAATCTGAAATAAATACATTATTAAATAAAATATATTATTATCTATCCACCCCGACTCTGAATAGGATCTATTAATGTGTGTCTATTAATAAAATTACAAGTTTTTTATACGTGGTAGAGTCACGGTGCAGCTAAATTATTTTGTAGAAAGGGTTGGTTCGACCAGGAAAGGACCATGTTCTCACAGAATACCAGCGTAAAATAGCAGTTTGATGCTGCTGTGTTTCGTATGGTGAGTGTAGGGAACCGGAGACCCGTTTTACTGGAAACAAGTCGTTCCATCTTAGTCCTCAGGGATGACAACGCACCTGAATTTTTATGCTTAATCGAGGTTAAATGTAGATGTCTATGGGCCGCAGCAAATTCGGTGGACTGTGTGCTCGTTTGTCACCCTAATACTATAAAAAATGTTTTCGAATAAAATAAAGCCTATATCCCTCCTGAATAGCTCTCTATCTGTTATCTAAGTTTCATCATCACAATGAGTTCCATCATTCTGGAGATGACCTGGACACACACAGAAAAATTGTAATTTTTTTATTTATGCCTTAATATCATCCAAATCTATGCATATATCTACGCGTAAAAGCTATTTTATTAAACAAATGTTGATTCAAATTTATGTTGTTTTACAATAAATTTAGGGTTTGAAATTCCCCGAATGTAAGGAAAGGGGTATTTTAGTACACATATTTATTACCGACGTGACCATACCTGAAATCTCTTTTAGCAACTCTTTCTCCCTTTTGATCCTCTCCTCCTCACCCTCCTGTCGACACTCAGTCTTCATACGCGCTAGGCAATTCTCCTTATCGGTCATAAACTGCTCCCATTGGTTTTCTGGAAATTATTTGGGTATTTATATGGTATTCCTGACTAGTTGCTTTTCCTCCTGTATCATGGAGGAAGATTATATATAGAATTTCACATGAACAAACATCAAGATCCGGAACAAATATTGACTGAACAATTATTTGTAGAAGCAGGATTCAAACCCGTGGCTCTCAAACTTCATAATTATTTTAAAAAACATATAAGTTAATATGCTACTAGTTACAACCCATGTGCGTCTCATAGCTGGGCATAGCCCTAATCTCATTTCTGAGAGGGTGGTTTTAGGGCAAGGAAATGTCCGCCACGCTGACTCAATGCTGGTTAACAGACCATATTATTATAAGCATAAACATAAAAATCAATTCTTACGACACCCACGGGATAAATAGAATGATCCCAGAAATACTTCGTCCCCTCTTATAGTTAACGGTAATACCATTTCGTAAAATACCGAGAACGGCGACGGGAAGCTGTGCCAAAGGTGCGAGAGGCCCGGGTCTGCGACTGCCAAGCTGCTTGCCAAGCATAGCAATTAAGGCAAATCCCTTCCATAACCAAGAACTTTAACGTACATTTAATTTATTATTCTAAGTCAGCGCTTAACTACAATCCAATCTGATGGTAAGTGCTGATGTAGTCTGAGATCAGTGGCGAAGCCTCCATAGAAGCCGAAAAGCTGGGCTTGTTCTATCAAATTGAAAATGTAGGATAATAGTCTTCCTTGTGATGAATTTAAGTGTGTTGAAGTGCTAATCGGCGAGGAAAAGGTAAAATCTTTAAACTTTTTAATAAGTTAATAAATTGTACTGTTGATGCTGCGTATTCTTTTCCAACGACAAAACAGCTTGAAATACTACTGGATGTGATGATTTAAATATTCTTCTAATCTGGAGCCATTAAAAGGCATATGAATTCTCAAAAACACATGAATGCGGTAATTTGGAAAAAATCGGATTGAAACAGGATTATCCGAAGAAATTACAAAACACAACATGCGTATTGCTCACAACCGTAGTGTTTTTCAAAGATTAGTCGATTTTGTTTGCCATTTAGTACAACAAGAACTTCCTTTCAAAAGTCACGATGAGTAGATGCAGCAAAGCGAGAAACGGCCGAGTTATTTAACTAGTACAATCCAAAATGACATTATTCATTCTGTCGCTGATGTAATGAAAACTCGCATCGAGTACAATTAAAACGTTCACCAACATTTTACGCGGACGTAATCAAATATTTCTTTAAGAAAGAGATATGATTCGATTTAGAATATAAAAATTTGATGTTTTTTAATTTTGTACATAGTTTGTTTGTACTTTGTTCATGCTTTTCTTTTGTTCATGTATTGTATTTTAAGTAAATATCTTTTTGTTTCGCTCAAGCAAACCCAAACGGCATTTTCCAAAGACCGAAGGTATGCAATTGCTGATATGCCATACAAACTATCTAGCAGTAGTATGCCTTCTGTTTGCTTTGTTAAATACGTCCTCGACAGCACTGAATATGAAACTGAAGAGTGGATACAGATCAAGATTGATGTATTTTTAAAACTGCTAAAAAAACAAAACCATATCTTGGGCTTGCCCTAGTTTGGAGCCCTAGCTTGGTCACTGCCTAAGATAGTTGGTAAGACTGGTGATGATTAAGCGCTAATTCACAGGCTAATGAAGAATCCTTTACCTATTTTTAAACTGTAAGTTTTTAAAACGCCATGAAAACGTTGTGAACTTCTTGTATTCAACAGAGTCTAAGCAGTTCAATACTGGACGTTTGTGCTAGAATTAATTTACAATACTAATTATAATCCATTGTTTATCATTTTGTGCTGTTTCGAACATATTGAAAATTGGATTTGGATTTGTACCAGCATGCTATGAATAACGGATTTATAAAATGTGAAAATGCGCTTGATGATCGATTGAGATATGGTTTATAAAAATAACTATAATTAATGAATGATTTAGATCGTGATTAGGATGACCTGGTATACCGTGACTCAGCCATGAATTTCGGAGGCCATCCCGTGCCGTATTTTTTATCATTCAATAGGCATATTCTCGTACGCATACATACTCTTACCGTATCCAATCGAATGAAAAGTATTTTATTGTTTTTTTTAACGACAAAATACAAAAAAAATGTTAGTCACTTATTTTAAACTTGAATTCCGTTTTTTATTACATTTGCCCCTCAAATGTGATATGGTTATTCTTTCATATTTATCTTCGATTAAGAGTTTAAATAGCCGTGGTAGCTCAGATGGTTAACTCTCTCCGTAAATATTACCAAACGCGAGTAACCCATCTTCGATCCCCGCCGGCACCAATGAAATTATTAATTTTAATTTTAAGTGCTGATATACTACGTGCTCGGCGGTGAAGGAAAACATCGTGAGGAAACCTGCATGTCTGAGGAATAAGAAAAATTTTTTTTTTTACGAAGACATGTGAAGTTCGCCAACACGCATCGAGGCTGCGCGACGGACACTTCCTTGCCCTAAAACCCTCACAGAAATGAGGAGAGGCCCACGCCCAGCAGTGGGACGTATATATGCTGTAACTTTACTATTTTTAAGAGTTTGAACAAGAAAAAGTTCGAATGCCTCGTTGCTAGTAAAAAAGGTCTCGAGTTCTCCTCACTAGCACAATACGCAGCTGATTATAGTGCAACTTCATGCTGGAGTATGTGAGAGGGTGATTGTTCACTGATCGAGATTGTTTTGCATCTCGTTCTCTCTTTTAACGTGTATGCCTTATATCTTACGTGATGGAGCCATGCTGCAGCTGTATTATGATTGTAGCACGAATGGGTCGGCTCGACCAGGGAAGGACCACGCTCTCACAGAATACCAGATTACCAGAGAGTAAAATAACAGCTCAATACTGCTGTGTTTCTTATGATGACTGTAGAGAAGAGCAAGCCCTATTTACTGGAAATTCCATCTTATTCCTCAGGGGTGACGGCGCATCTGCATTTTTATTCTTAATCGAGGATAAATGCAGATGTCTATGGGCCACAGCATCTACTTACCATCAGGTGGACTATGTGCTCGTTTGACACCTATTTTAAATTTTCTTTAAAAATAATATGTCGATGTCTATGGGCCAAGGCATCCAATTACCACCAGGTGGACTGTGTGCTCATTTGTCACAACTTTTCTATAAAAATATGTAGCTGTCTATGGGCCACAGCATCCATTTACCGTTAGGTGGAGAATGTGCTCGATTGTAACCCATATTCTATTAAAAACAATCTAAATTACCCATTTCGAGCCGGTGCTGCTCCTTCAGCTTGCTGATCTGCTCGTGCCTCTCGGCCAGCATCTTGCTGCGCGTGGTCTCCAGCAGCCTCCTCGCTTCGTCGGCGGCTATTGACGCTTGCTCCTCCACTGCTCGAAGTTTCTGCGCCCATTCTTCTGTAAGACTTTCTGCGGGAAAAAAATGAAATCTCATTAATTAATGAAATGGTGTTTTGGCAGTCTATCAAAAATAAAAATTAATTATAAAATTGGTAATTGATGAAATCACATCTCTTTAGCAGTTTATAAAGAGCAACAAATTAGAATAGATACATTGTTTACGATGTTTTCCGATTCCGAAAATATCGGAAAAAATCGTATCGTACTTTGACATAAATCGCGCTATTAAAGTTTTTAAGTACTGTGCGCTAAATATAGAACAGCTCCACACTAACACACGGAGCGCCCCTTTTCCTTTCACCGTCCACGGCCAAGTACTTTACCACAAACGACTTACAAAGTAATTTGGTCCTAAATAAACAGTCGTAATTTCAACTTTACCGCAAACGAATAAATCTCAATATCATTTCTAGAGGACAGCGGTAGTTACAAGCCGTGTGAGCGGCGCAACAAAGGACAAAAGAGTCAGCTACAACTAGGGTTGAACAAAGAGAGGATGTGCGCTATCGTTTTGTGGAATCATACAGAGCTCATATAACCGTCATCGTGTTTTGTTTTTCCAAAAAAATTTTTAAGTTTCAATTTTTTTAAAATTAATATCGAGTTCTATGCGACCTGAAAAATTAAGCGTAGGTTATAAGTATTTCGCAATAATAATTTAGTCGGTAGATAATAGTTAAGGTCGGTAATATTTCAATGCCAGGCCTTGCACAATATTTATTATGAAGTACTATATTTTTGTAGTCATGTCCACACATGGAGCATTATAGCAATGGACTGCAAAAGTAAAGTAAAGAGCCTCCTCTTAATATGGAAGGTTTTTGGGACAAGGAAATTTCTAGCGCAAAGCCATAATTTCTATGATTTTTTTTTAAATTTTTTAGACATAGAGATTTATTCACGATGTATTTCTTCAACGTAGGGTCGGCAACACATCTGCAATTTATGTAAAGTTGCGTTTGCCAACGCGCATGCCAAGCGCGACAAATATCTCAACAGAAGGCAATCAATGGAAAGGCATATGTTCAAAAGCGGACATTTATAGGCTGTAATGAATAAAAAACATGATAAAATCCGTTAAAAATACTTTTTGAATGCTCCTAAACTGTTGGTCCATCGGGCCACGATCAAGTGTACCATGCTGCACCTTAAGTCATATCGTTGCAGTTCGCATTAAATATAAAATTGGCAAGTAACTTGAGCACTTATGAAGTTTACTGCTCAGATCTCCTCCGCTGATTTATTTATTCATTTTAGGAAGGCTTACAGCCTAACATCCTCTCAAACCCCTAGCAGTCTCATGAGACCGCGGCTATATTCCGTCAAATCTCTAGCGGTCTCATGAGACTGCACCCACCCACAGTACTTTAACCCATAAAAACTTATATTTAAAGATTGAATTTTCTATGAAGAAGTTAGCAATATAGGCTCAATGTGAAATTTCCTATCCTTCTAATAAAATAAAAAGTAGTTAGTTACGCCTATTTGTTGTCGCGTGTTATTGTATTGATTTTTTGATTTTTCTAAGGTTTTATTAGTGTTTTATTATAAAATTGTTATAAAAGTTTTTGTGTAAGTATAATTTATCTTTTTACGTTAATAATTTCGAGTGATATACAGAAATAATTGTGATATTCAAGTTGCTGTCCTGTACTGCCTGTACGTACATTTTTAACTATGAAAACACAATTAAAATCTATTTGTAATGAAGTAAAAGCACTTAAACAAGTAATATAACATAATAAATAAACAGAAACAAGTATTTTATTGAAATTTATAATGAATATTATTGAAAATAAATGTACGACAAATTCAAGGTTAGATTATTTTTAGTCCACGCCGCGTCACGCGAAGCGAGCGGTTACAATAATTTTAGCTGGCGGCTTATCTACGTAAAGTTACAAAATGGTGATAAGAATTGCTAATTACAAGCCTATACATATTAATTTCATCCAACTTTATACAAATTTAAAATATTCCAGGGAATACTTAAGCTATTCATAAAAAAATTAACAAAATAAATAAATTAATGCAACAACATTAACAAGAAAAAACCGCATAGTTTAACTTGTCGTGAGCTTGCAACTTGAGTCATGCTAATCGCGACTATGTGTGAAAAATTCTCTATTCATCCATTTTTTTTACCGATTTCGAACTAGCAGATAATAAGTCAATATCTCAGCTAATAATTTATATTAATAAGCGTCCCCGCGCCTCATACATGCCCATGAAGGTTAGAGAACAGGAGAACGATCGCTACGTACTAAAGCATAGCCCGCCTGTCCTTGAAAATTGTAGAATGTATAGCGGCGCTGACGTCGGTGAGTAGTGACTGCGAAGTTAGCTGTTTATGAGTACAAGTAGATGAAGTTAGTTGAATAATGTACAAATTTTCTCCGCGGCATTGGTGAGAAAATTTTCATGCTCCGCAATTTTGTAATTTTTGACAAAAAGTAACATTAAAAAATGGAGAAATATTTTATTGTGCGTGGATGTGCAAGTTTTGCGTGTGATGACTTTTATTAAGCGAACTTAGCGATCGCAGCGCCTCACTTATGGTGTTCAAATTTCTGGGACACTATTTTCTACGGCAATCGTTCATGTACATGCCTCAAATGACATTTTCAAGCTCAAGGTGGGTGCCGGCAATTGTACCAACCTTTCTCCTTTTCAAACTTCTCGGTCATCCGTTCTACGTTGTTGGCGTAGTTGATGTCCGCCTTGTCCAGCAGATGGCGCAACTGCATGATATCCCAGTCAGCTTTACTGTGGGCTTCCGCTATAGCGTGTTCGTACTGCGCCTCCTTATTTGCTAACTCTTGTTTTAGGTTCTCGAACTGATAAAAAAGAATGAAAAGAAATATTCATTCATTTTGTATTTGTCAAAAAGTGAGGTTACTATTTCGAATTTTATTAAGGCCCGCCACGTACTACATACAGAATTCCGTTTCGGAATTCCGTATCTATTCGCAAATGAGACGAACGATTCGGCCACACATATACGGAATCCCGTTTTGCCTGCAAAATTCCGTACGGAGAACTACCGTAGGTGTGTGACGGGTCATTGATTTTATATGGACTTGCTACGTTTGGAATCTCGAATCGGAATTCCAAAACGGAATCCCGAAACGGAATTGCGTATGTATTTGGCGGGCTTTAATGTCTTTAAAGCGTTTCATTAAAAGGTCTTTTTAAAAAATATATGTAGTTCATGATTTTGTAGTTAATTTTATCTACCTAACACATTCTTTAAAGTTGTTGTCTCCTATTCTATGTTTATCGCTAAAAGATGTAAAAATCTTGAACGAGGGTCCGGGTTGAAGAAAAATTATCAGTGGAGTATTTATTAACTTTAAAACATTTGGTTGCCGCTTATAATATATTATAAGTGTAGAACTAAAGAGGGTGGGTCGCATGGTTGCAAGTTGGTTGGCTCCAGGTGTCATAGGACTGTGTTAGCATGTGACTGCTTTTATGTCTAGGTGTACGTCTAGATAGGTACCACCTCATCAACAGTGCGTGCGCTGTTGTTGTATGTCAATACATTTTTGAGCAAACGCTGCAACCTGCTTCTAGCCGCGCGTCGCGTGTTTTATTTGCAATCATACAATCGGCAGTACATCAAAAATTTTCTTACGGTAAGCACTCCCTCAAGGAAATACTTGCCATAACTACACTTAGTGCAAAACTTATACTATATTAGTAATACAAATTTATCTACATTTTCATCTTTCTTTCTGCATGCTCAAAATACTACATCCAACTTAAAACTGCAACTGTACAACATCCTTAAATGTGCGACCAACACGGACTGTATAGTTAATGGTGCTTCGAGCCGGATATGAACCAGCGACTTATGGATGTACATTGTACCGTCCACTGGTCGCTGGTTCATATCCGATCGGAATGCAACTGTACAGTACTTAGAGCTGCAAGTGTAGTGTTGTGAACTCGTGCAGCCACCGCACCGCATAATACATGTTTGGTCTTAAAGGGCCTGTATTTTGCAGGAATTGTGGTCCCTTTACAAAATGAACCAATATTTTCCTCGGGGCGCGCAGCTGTGTGACTTTGAGTCTGTGTGTGCTGGATAACTCAGCAGTGCGCGCACTGTTGTGTTCCAGTGTGAAGGGCTTCGTGAGTTTACTTAGAGGTGCGAGTATACTGACCCGCGTGGTGACCTCCCGCAGTCTCCTGTCCGCGGCGCGTGCGCTGAGCTCGTGTTCGGCGCGCAGCTGCGAGAGCGCGGCGCGCGTACGCTCGGCGGCCGCGCGCTCCGCGTGCGCGCGGGCAGCTGCGGTGGCGCTGCTGTGCTCCGCGCGCAAGCATTCCACACGTGCGCCGTGCTGCTGCTCCAGTTGCCGGATGGCCTTTGGAACAGTCAGGAAAAAAAAACGAGTGTGCTTATGACCACACGACTAAAGTAAAAATTCTTTAGCTCCACCTGCGTATATATATATATATATTTACATGTATATGTATATATGTATAATATATACAACATGTACATACATATATTAATTTTCCACAAATATTTGAATTTATTATCGGCTTCCTTCCATAATTTGTTATTATTCACCCGAAAATTAACAAAACATGAACTTTAAAATGTATTTACAATTTTATTCACTTTAACTGTAGAATATTTAATGTATTGAACAAAATATTAATTCATAAAATACGGAACGTGACTGGCTATGAGAGAAAGAGAGAAAGAAAATATGCGCGCGCACTGCTCTCTCTTGTTAATGTCCCCAACTCAACTCCCGTTCGACTCGCTAGATCATACATTTCGTAACGCTTTCGTCACGCGTTCGCCAGCTTACTCCCCAAGTGTGTAAAGAAGTCTTACTTCAAAAATTGAAAACCATTTAAATTGCAGTATAGACATGTTATGATGATAGATGATGATGTTGCCGATACTGTGACCTGAAATCGTCCAGAGACAACACCGTAGGGACGAGGAGAATGGGTTACTAGGAACCCATTCTCCTCGTCCCTGCGGTGGAGGATTTTCCAGAGCTCTGTATGGAGCCCTTTATTTTGAGCCCTCAACAGCACAGCTGTCTCTTCTAGCGAGTTAGCTTCGCTGCAGAGCAGATATGTTATACCTATAGCTGAGGCTTAGGCAGTTCGGCCTCAGGTATTATTGAGAGCTTTGCCTTCGGGCAGAGTTTCATGTTTCCAACTTCACCCACAATCTAGTCCCAGCTTGACTTATTCAGGCGCGTTACCAGAATTGTGTAGCGATCCGTTGAGGCGGATTAAATGTCAACTGTGATGCTACCTCATGGGCGCTCTTATGGCGGCCATATGTTATAAATTATAATTATTTATTTTGCAAATTAATCATATTAGATACTATTAGGGATTAGATAGATAGAAAATTCTTTATTGCACTAAAACAAGAAAAAATGGTACAAAGGTAAACTTAATGCGGTACCCTGATCAAAACCTGGCAAAAGTGCGTTTTTCAGAGACTATTATCTCATTAGTTATGAGAAATAAGCTACATCTAAAGGCACATTATTAATGTTCGGTATCCTATCATCACATTCCACGTTCTAATTTGTTTTTATGTGTTATGAATACATTTAAAATCTGCGTTTAAAAAATGACTAAAATTATTGATTACATGCATCTGTTGCTAAAGGAAATGCTCTAATCATTTGAGAATTACACTAATGGATAGATAATTGAAAAATCTATATTCTACACGTTTTATTTAATTTCTTAAGTTCTCTTTTAATTGAAATAATTCCAAATATTCGGGCGTATTTTTCCGTGATATATTGTAGCGAGAGCGCGTGGATTGTATGGGACCGAACGCTCAAGGTCTCTCGCTAGGGGAACCGTCTTAATGCCCAAAAGGCATTCTCTGCCAGCTAACCTTTGTTAGTGAAAAAACTAACTTATTTACACATAATATTCAAAATGTAAAATGTATGTAATGTAATTTGAATATGTTACTTTATACACATTATATTCAATTATACACACATATATACATATATAAAAATATATATACTTTTAAATAAAAAATACCATACTATACCAATAAAATACATACGATCAAAAGGGATAATATTTCTATTATACTTTTTATTAATAAACATTAGTGTTTTTAACCGCAGTTTTTTAAACTGAAAACTTCTAAAGTGATTTTTGGTAGGGGCAAAACTTATGGGTACGCATCACCGATGACCTCGACATGACTTGACCGATTGCACATGCACAAACATGTTGCAATTATATTAGTAGTATAGTTATAGCACGAATGGGCCTGAAGAGAGCTACGCTCTCACAGAATAATATAATTAATTTCTCTGTGAGTGTAGAGAACCTGAGACCCTTTTTACTGGAAACGAGGCATTCCATCTTAGTCCGCACGGTTGACAACGCATCTGCATTTTGATTCGTAATCGAGAATAGGTGGAGATGTCAATTGGCCACAGAAACCACTCACATCAGGTGCACTGTGTGCTCGTTTGTCACCTTATCCGATAAAAACACATGTATACATATATATCATTGAGTTTTTACTTATGTCTTTGCGCCTTTGGGTTAAGTAGATGTAAGTCAAAAAGGTGGAGTTTAATGGGTAAGTCTCACTAATATTATGTTGTATGTCATTTCCCTTACGGAGGGTTATTTTGCTTCGGGCGCAAAAAAATGATGTCGCCAGTCCTCATGACTGCTTTTGTTTTTTTATTTTTAGTTGATAATCACCTAGTTTATTTACTTCTGGCTCTCTTACAGCCACATGGAACAATAAGCGGTAGTGGATATTGTAAAATTGTCATTACACTATGAAAAAAAACCACTTTCTTTTCATAGTGTAAAAGAGTAAACACTTTTTTCTCAGTGTAAAAAATTGAAACACTTTTTTTCACACACAAAGGTAAAATAGAAAGCTATTCCAGTATTCACCTGCAAATGCTGCTCCTCCCTCTCCTTCCCTTTCTGCGTCTCCTTGTCCAGCAAGTCTTGCAGCCTGCGCTGGTCCAACTGGAGCGCCTCTTCCCTGGCCTCTAGCTGCTGCAGCTGCGCCGTGAGCGAGAGCACGGAGTGCTGCAGCTCAGCCGTCAGAGTACGAAGCTGCTGCAGCTCCACTACTTCAGCTGTAGTGGGCGGTGACTTCTGCAGCTGTTCCACTGTTTGCGACAACTGGGGGACACGAATTGTTTACGAATACGGCTTTTCATAATAGTAATAGTAAAGAGTATTATACCGCAATAGAGCCACGGCGCAGCTCTATATTGGATGGAGCACGGTGGAGTCTATAGGTCTACTTGACCGGGGAATGACCACGTTCTCACAGAACACCAGCGTATAATAGCAGCTTAATGCTGCTGTAATTCGTATGGTGAGTGTAGAGAACTGTAAACGATGCATTTCATTTTAGCGCTTAGGAGTGACAACGCATCTGCATTTCGATTCTTAATCTGAATGCCCAAGCATCCACTTCCCATTAGACTATGTGCTCGTTTGTCACCCTTATCTAATGAATAAAATTAATGTTTATTTGTTCGTATTTTATGCGCGTGCATCAGTTTACGGTAAACCTTTGTCAACATATTGCGTACATTTGCGCGAAGGTTATAGGCATAGTACAATTAACTTACAGCAGGTGGCATGCGTATCGTACCGGCAAATTTATTTGAAAGTCATATATCACTCAATTACAATTATCATCATCATCATTACAACCCTTTACAAGTCCGATGCTGAACATAGGCCTCCCCCAAGGTATGCCACAAAGCACGGTCCTGAGCCACCTGCATCCATCGACTTCCTGCATGTCTTACCAGGTCATTCCATCTAGTGGGGGGTCGCCCTACACTTCGTCTACCGGTACGAGGCTGCCACTCGAGAACCTTTCTTCCCCATCGATTATCGGTTCTTCGAGCTATATGGCCGGCCCATTGCCACTTCAGCTTACTAATCCGTTGGGCTATGTCGGTCACTCTGGTTCTACTGCGGATATCCTCATTTCTAAGTTAATTACAATTAATGTATTATTATTTTTTATGCGACCGCATTGCGCAAAGTACCAGCTAATTTTGTATAAAATAAAATAAAAAAGCAATTGAAATCTTTTAAAAAACTTTCAGTATTATAACTGCAAGTTTTAGCTTTGTTGCTATACAACATTACAAAACATTCTAGAAGACACTTCAGAGAATTTGAAAATGACCTAAAAGTATAGTTGTCAAAGGCAACTACGTGGACACCTTTGAAAGTACCGTACATTACATAGTACAGTTACAGTAGTAGCTTATTGGAATACACTGTTAAATATAGGCCATCCCATAGATTACCTCATGAGGGGGGGGGGGGTATTTGCCATAGTTGCCACGCTTGCAGGCACGCTTGGTAATCGCAGTCCCTTCGTTTGTTTGAGAGGGTTGTTTGAGAGCATCCGGCTCACCTGATGGTAAGTGACTACCGCCGCCCATGAACAACTGCAACACCAGGGGTTATGCAGATGCGTTGCCGTCCTTTTAGAAAGGAGTGGGCTCTTTTCTTGATGGTCCGTAAGTCGCATCGGTCCGGAAAAATTTCTGGCGGTAGTCGATTCCACAAGGAAGTTGTGCGAAGAAGAAAACTTCTTTTAAATCGCACGGTGGTGAACTGTCAAGCATCCAAACGGTATGGATGATATCGGGAGTTTTACCGCGATGTGCGTTCATGAAATTTGGCGGCTAGGATTAATTTGAACAATTCCTCAAAGCACTCCCCCGTGATAGATGCCAAAGAAAATGCAAAGAAATGCAACATATCGATAAGGGTTACTGGATATTCTTAAACCGCTACCTACTATACGCTATTTCTATATAGTAGTATTTCTGATACAGAGGAATTCATCCGTCTCTTAGAGCCGTCCAAAAATCTACTGCTGAACATAGGCATCCATTGATTGCCTCATAGGGGCAATTTGCCAAAGTTACCGCGCTTGGCAAGCGGGTTGACAACCGCAGTTTGTTATTTTTATTCCACTGTTACCAGGAACATGCTGCTGCCCATCTCCTCGTTCGTTTCCTTTTACTTCCGTCGCCTCTTACGACACCTGGGTCGAGAGACGGTGGATATGATTATACCATATAATACTATAATACATACATAATAGAACGGGGGAGTGGGTGGGGCCCGCGTAGCCATTAAAATGTCACTAACACGCAATTCACACGTATAAATGTCAACACGAGATGTGTTTTGACGTCACAATCGTTTCTAAATTTCGCATGCAAATTATTTAGAAAATGCCAAATTGCACGCTATTTTACAAATAAATATGTATTAAAATCCGTCTGTCAACACAGCGAATCGGGTTTGTAGTAATGATTAACTGATAATACGACGTAATTGCTTGTATGTGTGCTCCCGGCGACGCCTATCCTCGTACAAAATAAGGTTGACAGCCATTCTATTGTGTATTATAGTATTCTAGGATATTCCTAAACTGCCACTACACGTTATTTTTATACGGTAGTATTTTTGATACTAAGGAACTCATCCATCCCTTAAACCTTCCAAAAAACTACTGCTGAACATAGGCTCTCCTTGGTGGGTTGCCAAAGTTACCGCGGGGTTGGCAACCGCAGTTTGTTATTTTTATTCCACTGGTACCAGGAACATGCTGCTGCCCATCTCCTGGTTCAGTTCAGTTTCTTTTCCTTCTGTCGCCTCTTGCAACACTTACTCGAGGGTCAGTGGATATTCTTATACCGCCTCTGGACAGTTACAAATGAAATCATTAACTCACCTCCTTCTTTTCTTTTTCCGCGTCTCGCGCACGTTTCTCCAGCTCTCGCATCTTCCACTCGCAATCTGCGAGTATTCGTTCTGCTCGCGAGGCAGCTTGCGAGCGCGCTGCTTCGTGAGCGGCCCGCCATTTTGCCGTGTTCGCTTCCGCTGCCGCTAGAGCCTGTTGATGTTTTTTTATATCGTTTTTACAGTCGGCCAGTTTTTACACTTAAAAAATTAAAATTTTTTAAGTGAAAATTTCAAAACATAAAATGATAAGATCTTATGAGCTCGCGTCACCGAAATGCTAATTTTAACACTTAACAGCTTGGACAAATTATATTAGGTTAACAGTATATAAATATATAATATAGTTTGTCCAACCTGTAGTTATAAGTCTGACGTCTTGCGCGTATACCAAACGCGTTAGACGCTTTTTGGATGGGAATAATCTTATGAGTTCGCGTCATCGCACAGCTGTAGTAGCATTATATAATAATATATTACCGTCATCATCATTACAGCCCTTCGCAAGTTCACTGCTGATCACAGAACTCCCCCAAGAAATGCTACAAAACACAGTCCTGAGGCACCTGCATCCATTGACTTCCTGCATAACTTATATGGCTAAAATACCCTACATTTAACTAATACGAGGTATGGAGAGGGCTATGCTCGGGGTTTCTCTGCGTGATAGATTTAAAAATGAGAATAACCGCAGCAGAAGCAAGGTAAACGACATAGCCCAACGGATTAGTAAGCTTAAGTGGCAATGATCTGGCCATATGGTTGGAGGAACCAACGACCGATGGGGAGGAAAGGTTCTTTAAAAGAGCGGCAATCTCGTGCCGGTATAAAAATATAAATGTATATTAATTATTATGTCTATAAGTAGTATTTACAATTAATACTAAGCCAAGTACAGTCCTGTGCAGCCCATTATAAAATAAACCATATCAAAATTGAAAAATAAAATAAAAATAAAAAATTGAAGTGACAGTAGCTTAACGGCAGGGTGTGGACAAGATCGTGAACTCAAAAGGTCGTGGGTCCGAATCCGCCATTTGTCTACTGTCGTGAACCACTTCTAACACCAGCATTTTAAGCTTAGCAGGAGTGGTTAAAAGGAATATTAGTAATGTTAATTAATAAAATTGATAATATTTTTTTCAAAAAAAAAAAATGCACTACCTACATTCTAGCTTACAGGCGTAGGGGTAGCGCGTTATGAGAATATGTCCTTATGTATTAGGTTCTTATAAGTAATCTACAAACCGAATTCGGCCAAATTCACCGGAGACTAGTCTATCTGTACAAGATAGGATTATAATTATGTAACCACAGGTACGCTCTCTATTCCCTCACTCTCATAGTTCTATGGGATAACAATCCGACACGACCGGAGAGATCAGGCGCAGGAGCAATGGCTTAACGTGCTTTACGTGGTTCGGGGTAATACACCTCCAACTTCTTCACTCCGCACTGCTACTGAGAGCTTATTTACAGAAAAAAAAACTAATTTTGGTCCGACCTGGAATTGGAACCCGGAACCCGATGATCAACAACCATGTTTATTACTCATTGATTAAAACTACTTTTACGGATTATATCGCGTTTAATTTTAATAATTTTTTTAACGTTGATGCTTCATATCAGCTGCATAGCTGATGTGAAGCATCACCGGTCCGGGAAGTCTGCAGTATGTGATCATATCCTAGACGGCCCCAACCATTACATCAGATTTGATAGACCACAAATCCTCGCGAAAGAACACCGATTCCTACCAAGGATGATACGTGACGCTATTGAAATTAAAAAAAACATCCTAATCTCAATAGAGAAGGAGGCTGGGTACCTACCTGCTTGGGACCCTATAACCAATACAATTAAAACTAAACCCAATCATACCACTGCAAGACTTCAAGACACAGTCCGTTCATTTTGCATAGATCGGACCATAAAAAAAATTTAAAAAGCTAAAGGTACTCCGGATTTAACAATGACATCGGGACGTCAGTCATCTCTGTCCTCCGTGACCATGGGTGCGGGAAAGCAGCCGAAACGTCGGGAATTACAAATAATTAAAATTAAACGCGATATAATCCGTAGTGTGTAGTGTTCGCGTAAATATAAGAAATCATCATGTTTATTATTACTAGACATCCGAGGCATTTATACGAGCATAGGTATTAGATATCCGAAGGCATTCGTTCGAAATAAATATGGCAATTTACAAGACGTCACATAAAATTACATACATAAGATTTAAACACAATATCGCGTTTACCTGTTCTTAACTCACCTCTTGTGCTTTCTGCGCTTGGACTAGTATCTCTTGTTCCAGTCTCTCTTTGTCCCTCTCCAGTTCCAATATTTTAGACTCTAGCTCGGCCCGTCGCGTCAAAGCCTCCTCCAGCTCCGATCTGAGTTGCCTTACAGATTCATCTGAAATTCGAGGCTGATGGTGACTATTTAAGGTTATAGTAACCATCGTAAAATAACAGCTTAATGCTGTTGTGTTTCGTAGGGTGAGTGTGGAGAACCGAAGACTTTTTACTGGTAACGAGGATTCCATCTTCTGGCCCTCAGGGGTGACAACGCACATAAATTTTGATTCTCAGTCGAGACATAGACAGCTACATGTATGTAAACAGCATTCACTTACTGTCAGGTAGACTGTGTGATCTTCACAAAAATGAAGTATTCTTTAACAGCAATCTGGTAAAGTTCTCTGCTGAACGTTAAGTTTAAGTTCTATGTTGAACTCTTTGACGCTGCTCTCGTCGCCAATCTGAGCAAAGTATGACGTTGTGTGTGTCAAAATTTGTGGAGATTAGTGTGTAATCAAAGAAATTCATTTGATGGAATCAAATATACACATCAAATATTAAATATAATATATAAGAATGGAATAGACTAAAATTTTGACATAGTAAAGTTTGAGTTCAAACTTGAAATTGTCTCTGAATATTAGCCTATGTATTGGAAAGCCTTTTAGATTTTCTATTGAAATATTGCACTAATTTTAATATATATAAATTACGTATCACGTTGTTTGTCCGCGATGGACTCCTAAACTACTTAACCGATTTTAATCAAATTTGCCCACCGTGTGCTGTTTAGTCCAACTTGAGAGAATAGGATAGTTTTTTGTCCATGAGTGACCCACAATTTTTTTGCTAATTTAAGGATTTTAATAGGACATGACAAAGGGTCGACGAAAAGGGCAGAACAATGTCTGCCTGGCAAGCTAGTATATATATATATATATATATATATATATATATATATATATATATATATATATGGACATATATACATATATACACTATAAGAATTATTTTTCTTAGATATGTTTGATGAGGAATTATCATCATATTAATTGTATCATAAAATGCGTCCAAATTATTCTAAATTATATAGACATAGTTTATAGCAGACTTTATTGAAGATAATAGGCAATAAGTCCAATTTGTTAGTACATTTTTTATTCAAATTCGAACTTCCTCACCCGAGCCCATTAGTGCTGAAGCGTAATACGACTACTTATGGTCTTACCATTTCGCCTCTGCAGTTGATCGGCTAGGTCGGCCGAGCAACTCCTGGCTGCCGCCAAGTCTTCCTCCAAAGAGCGACTCCGTTGCCGCACCAACTCCGACTCCTTGTAAGCTGCAGCTAGGTCGCATTTTAATTCTAAAAATTAAACAAAGGAAAATTTTAATATGGTGTTCAAATGGAAATTTCAAAATCAAAATTACACATTTCTGGTAAGAACTCATGGAGCGACATTTACCCGCACACGCAGCGTTAGTCAGACCGTGACACGCGTCGACTATAAGAAGTATCACGACACGATTTGTGCATACGACATGTGCGGTTGTTTGCGGTTGCCACTGCACCGGCGGGCAACTATACGACGCAGCCGGCTGCGTGGTATGCTTAGAGCATTCGCCACCTCCCTCCCCCGCTACCCGGAGAGTAGCCCTATAATTTGTTTCTGAGCGCAAAAAAAGTTGAAACGTCACCCCCCCCTCCCCCGTCAACATGTCTTCCATAGACATAAGCTCACTCATAAGCCAGGTTGCGGCCACGATCGTACAAATGATCCAAGCCGCAGGAATACCTACAACCGCCCAAATTGACGAGACCCTTCTCGCCAAAGCCATTTCCCCCCCGCTGCCCCTAAGGCATGTGTACCCCGCCCGCCGTCGCTGCTTTCCTCGCGACCCAAGCGTCTGCCCCGCAGTCCGACTCACCCGCGTCCCCCCGACTCCGATATGGAGCACTCGGACGCCACGTCCGTTACCTCATCCTCCCGGAAGAGGACTGCCCTCAGCTCCACCGGCTCCTCGGATTCTTCCGACTCCGAAGGAACCATAACCGACTCCCAAGCCGAATTCACGTTAGTGAAATCCAAGCGCGGCCCGAAACGCGCTGCCACTTCTCGCACTCCCCCCGCCTCAGCGGCCGCCGCCGCGCCACTCCCTCCGCCGCTGCCTCTACCTCCGCAGCTCCCATCGTTGCCCCTACTTCCGCAGCCCCAAATGCTGCCGCCTCACAGTCGAAAGACAATACCGCCAAGCCAGCAACCCGCTGCGCTCCCGAACTGGCCAAAAACCAAGACCCGCCCCCTGTCTTTCTCAGAGACAAGGCGAAATTTACTCAATTGTCCAAAACCCTCTACGATAAGGGTTTCAAATACGACCAAGCCACTAATGTCGGCGAGGCCATCAAAATTATACCGGCGTCTATAGAAGACTTCCGAAACATAACCCGCCTATTCACGGCCGAGCGTGTGTCCTACCACACATACGCCCTTGCCGAAGAAAGGAAAATCAAGGCAGTCCTCCGCGGAGTTCCCTATGAACTCGCAAACGAAGACATTCTGGAAGACCTCAAATCCCAAGGCTTCCCCATTGAAGGTGTGCATAAAATGCACAGCAGCAGGGGCGAAAGGTTTAACCTCGCCCTCCTCGTTCTCACCAATGTGCCGGAGGCGAAGGCCATTTTCCGCGAGGTACGCACTGTGTGCGGCCTGTCGCGTGTTAAGGTCGAAGCCCCTCACCAGCGCGGTTACCCAGCGCAGTGCCACCGCTGTCAACTTTATGGACACGCGGCAGCCAACTGCTCAGCTCCACCCAGGTGCATTAAGTGCCTAGAACCCCATCACTCGAAAGAGTGCCCACGGCCCAAAAACGCCGAATCCCCACCCTCATGTGTCCTCTGCGGACAAACAGGCCATCCGGCCAATTTTAGAGGTTGCCCTCGCGCCCCTCGCCCACCTCCGAGCCGCAAAGCTCCACCACAGGTCAATGACCGAACCTTCCCGGCTCTTGTAAGCCGCAAGCCCAGCCAGGGCCAGCCCCTACCTCAGCCCCCCTCAGGGCTCATCTCAGCCCACACAGGGCATCTATCGGCCCCCACAGGGCCCCTATCGGCCACCTCAGGGCCCTCCTCGGCCCCTTATGATCCTCCCGCTCTCTCAGCCAGCGCCGCTCCCAATAAACCCCTGGTTCCAAAAGGAATCAAATATCCCGCGGCCCTCCGCCGACCCAAAAAAACAGACAGACTCTGTTGTAGAGTCTCTAAACCTAGTGTATAACACACTCAATAGAATCAATTTGGACGAAATCCTCATCCTTGCGGATAAACTGAGCACAGCTCAGTCCCCTCAGGGCCGCCTCCTTGCTCTTACCGAGCACATCAACCTTCTAAGGTCCTTGTAATTTAATTATGCCGGAGCCCTCTGCTCCCGCAATATCTCACGGTCGTATCAAACCAAAGGGTTTGTCGCTTGTTTCATTCAATATCCGCGGTCTGCGAAATAACCTCCCAGAGCTTAGGCTTTTTCTACGAGATCGCGAAGCCGATCTCTTACTCCTACAGGAGACCCATCTCAGCCCCAAGGTCTCTAAAGGCCTTACTATTAAAAATTATTCACTTATACGTAACGATAGACCCGACCGCAAAGGCGGCGGTACTGCCATCTATCACAAAAAGTCCCTTCATTGCTCCCACATATCTACTCCGTCGCTTACCAGTATGGAAGCCACTATCACTAGACTAGCCATGACTGGACACCAGTCAATCGTTTTAGCCTCCTGCTATATCCCTAGCGGAACCCTCCCCGTCAAGAGTGATTTCGAAGCTATCCTTGCATTAGGCGACTCAGTCATTATGTTTGGAGACTTTAACTCCAAGCATACTGAATGGGCCTGCCGAACTACTACCAGTAGTGGCAGGGTGCTGCTCAATATCACTCAGTCTCTCGACCTAACTGTCTACAGCCCCCTCACTGCCACCCACTATCCCGACATTGTTACCTACGCTCCTGATGTGCTAGATTTTGCTCTAGTTAAAGGAATTTCCCTTAACCTTAGAGCAATCGAGCCTCTCGACGATCTAGGATCCGACCACCGTCCTGTATCCCTCCTTCTTGGCCATCAGCCATCACCAACTCCCACTTCCAAAACCTACACCAACTGGAAGGGCTTCAAAAAGTCTCTAGCCTCGGCTATAGACTCTCCGGACCCTCCCATAACCCTTTCTTCCCATGCCCTCGACAGTGCGGGGAAAATAGACACCGCGGTCGAAAATCTCACCTCACTCATAACATCCTCTCTTAAAGAGAATGAAAAAGTTGTCCCGGTTGCAAAAACTAGTCTTCCCCTAGATATTAGCAACCTGTTAAAAGCCAAAAAAGCCGCCCTCCGTAGAGCTGCACGCTATCCCACTCCTGAATATAGACTCGCGGCCCACCGCCTTCAACGCAAACTGCGTTACCGCCTCCAAGACTACAGAGACCACGAAAAGGGCAATCTCATGGAGAAAATCTCTCCCTCTCACACAGCGTACTACCGGATGGCGAGAGCTCTCCGGATAGACGCTATAACCCATACTCCCCCTCTGTCTCGTCCCGACGGCTCCATTGCCTTCGAAGACGAAGAAAAAGCTGAGTGCTTCGCGGACAGCGTTGCCGCTCAATGCTCTCCTAGCTCACAACCCACTGACCCCTTACACATTCAACTAGTGGAGGACGAGGTCCGACGCAGGAACTCGCCCCCTACCGCCTCTGACCCTATCACTGTGTCCAAAGATGAGATTTCATCTACCATCAAAGGACTTAAGCCCAAAAAAGCACCGGGTGCGGATGGTATCTCCAACCAAGCCCTCAAACACTTCCCGGAGCAGGTAATCGCCTTACTGGCCATTATCTTTAACGCCTGCTTCGAATTCAGTTATTTTCCCACCTCTTGGAAAGAGGCAACTGTCATTGGCATTCCCAAGCCAGGCAAACCTCTCCACCTCCCCTCCAATCACCGTCCCATCAGCCTCCTCAAGGCCATGGGCAAACTTTTCGAACGAGTCATTCTCGTGCGCTTGAGGCGCCATTTGTTTCCCACAGACGGCGACCCTCTTGTCATCCCACAACAATTCGGGTTTCGAGCCAAACACTCGTGCCCCCAACAAGTTCACCGCATAGTGGAATACATCCTCAGCGGTTTTTACCCTCGCCGTCAAAAAACCATCGCGGTCTTCTTTGACATTGCCAAGGCTTTCGACAGAGTCTGGCACGAGGGCCTTATCTACAAACTGTACGACTTAGGCCTCCCAGATCGTCTCATTCGCCTTGTAGCCTCCTATCTGAAGGATCGTACCTTTCGTTTTAGACACGAAGGCACGCTATCCTCTACCCGTCAAATAAAAGCCGGTGTCCCTCAAGGCTCTGTGCTTGCTCCCCTCCTATACATACTATTCACCAACGACATCCCTATCCCGTCGAATGGTGTCAAACTAGCCCTTTTTGCAGATGACACAGCCCTTTACTCCGAAGGCAACTCACTACCACAGATTCGGAACAAGATCCAAAAGTCAGTAAGCGACTTAGGAGCTTGGTTCCAAAAATGGCGTATCGAGGTAAACCCGGAGAAAAGCTCCGCCGTTTGCTTCGAGTATAAACGACGTCGTCTCACCACCACTCCGCCAATCAGGATGTTAGGAACCCCTGTCCCATGGCAAACTAAAGCCAAATACCTAGGCGTCACCCTTGATGCAAGGCTCACTTTCGAGCCCCATATCAAGAAGGTTACTCGCACCGCACGTTTTTACATGGGTAGGCTCAACAGCATGTTGGACAGACACAGTAAAATGTCCCTCCGCAACAAGCGAACCCTATATAAGGTCTGCATACGACCTGTCATGACCTACGCGGCCCCCATTTTTGCACATGCTAAACCCAAAGCTATCAATGAACTTCAAATAGTTCAAAATCTATTCTGTCGTAGGGCCACTAACTCGCCCTATTATGTCCGTAATGCCGACCTACATCGAGACTTAGAGCTCCCAACAATCCAGCAGTTCCTCAAATCACTCTCTGAGAGATTTTTCAAAGCCTCAGAGTCCCACCCAAATCATCTCATTCGTGAGACAGCTGCCTATGCAGCCCCTATCCACACTCGCTATAGTGTGCGCAGACCGAGAAACTCTCTCTCGGACCCACCCAACAAGCTTTCGGCTGACCTGAACTGCCTCCTGGCGGCTCAGGCCGAGCCTACATAACACATCCCTTAATCTGCCTTAGTTAGGCACTCTTCTAAGCGGCTTTCGCCGCTTGCGCCCTCCTTTCTGCCAAGGAGGGTCGCGTTCGTATACGGCTTAGAGATCTCTAGTCAGATCGTTAAGCCAGTTCCTAAAAGGTTGGGTTTAGTGGGTAAAAGTCACCACATAACCACGCAGCCAGCTGCGTGGTATGCTTTGAGCATTCCCAACCTCCCTCCCCCCGCTTTCCGGAGAGTTGCCCATATTTGCTTCGGAGCGCAAAAAAAAAAAAAAAAAAAGTTGAACCGCAGGCTGCGTTTACACTCGCGCTCTGCATGGCACGGGTGCATGACGGCGTGGCATTTACTGGCAATCGATTTATTGTAAATAACTCGTCTTGCTCCTGCCAAGTTTGCAGGCGTTACCGCTCACCGCCTTTGCGGTAGGCACTAGGCACGAATCCAGACAAAACTGCGGTCTCGTCAGTTTTGATATAAAATAGCAGTTCGTCAACCGCTGTCGGGTGCGGGTAAATATCATTTCGTGAGTTCTTAGTTCAGGTATTGAATTGATCTACCAGTAGTAGATCAAATCGACGATTGAAACGACGAATCTATCGCAGAATGTAAAAAATTACTTAAATTACGTCCTACTGATAGGTACAGGCATCATCTTATGTCTGAAGATTAGAAGATTATGGAGCAGCTATTCCGTCGAACTGCTATAGTGCGTGTTCGCCTTAGTCTAAGGTGTTCGTGGATTTCACAATATGTTCTTAAAACATATTTCTGACAAGCAAGTTTCCTTTTTTTTATAGGATAGGATGAAAACGTCTGTGTTGTTCTGATGGATGTTTGTGAGTTTGGTACATCACAATGTTTTTATTTCATCATCGATTCATTCAATCCATCATAATAAAACAATGCAATTCACATTTTCTTTTGTGTCGGCGTCAATCGAACTTGGGTGTCTCGCGTATTGACTCTTGTCATGAATTTTCTATCGTCTCGAATTTGTATCGTCCTGTCGCACTGAACTCAATAAAACGTAGTTATTTCTCTACTTCGGTCAAAAACCTCAATTTTATTTATAAAGTACGTGAGGATAATATGGTCATCCAGTTAATATGGTCACTTCCTTACAACTCAAAAACTACAGCCTTGTTTGCATAGATGGTTCCGTGATACGATAGCTCTTCATCAGTCAATGAAATATTAGAGGGTCAAAAGGACGCTGCTCTATCGACGGCATTTTGACATTTGACATTATAGTAAATATTATATTCGATTTTAGTATTGCGTAGTGTCGTTAGCTTTTTTAGGTTGATTTTTCCAAGTGTTAGTTTAATTCAATACTTGAACTAAGAACTCACGAAATGATATTTAACCGCACCCGACAGCGGTTGACGAACTGCTATTTTATATCAAAACTGACAAGACCGCAGTTTGGTCTGGATTCGTGCTACCGCAAAGGCGGTAAGCGGTAACGAGTTATTTACAATAAATCGATTGCCAGTAAATGCCACGCCGTCATGCACCCGTGCCATGCTGAGTGCGGGTGTAAACGCAGCCTGCGGTTCAATGTTTTTTTGCGCTCTAAAGCAAAGTATAGGGCTACTCTCCGGGAAGCGGGGGAGGGAGGTGGTGAATGCTCTAAGCATACCACGCAGCTGGCTGCGTCTTATACAACAATCGTATGCACAAATCGTGTCGTGATACTTCTTATAGTCGACGCGTGTTACGGTCTGACTATCGCTGCGTGTGCGAGTAAACGTCGCTCCATGAGTTCTTACCAGAAATGTTTAATTTTGATTTTGAAATTTATTTTTGAAATTATTGCCAGAGCTTGTTTGCTATTTTTATTAAAATATTAGTTATAGTATACGACTTTGTGTTTTTTTTTCTATGTCCTCCTCCTAGTTTTGGTTTTATAAGGCGGCAACACTTAAAGTGAGCTTTTCCCCCTCATGTACTTTATATCTATTGCATGACATTTATGTTACAGTAGAAGACAGAAAATAAATCGCTTACGACGATACGAAATGAATATTCTGGACCTACCTCGGTCGAGCCGAACCATTCGTGCTACAACCATAATATAGCTGCAGCGTGTCTCCACTTTTGACTTACTTTTCAATAGCCTAGACCCTAGATTAATCTTTATAGCATTGGGTGACATACGAGCACACAGTCCACCTGATGATACCTGGATGCTGTGGCCCATAGACATCCACATTTATCCTCAATTAAGAACCTAAATGCGTAGTCACCCCTGAGGAATAAGATGGAATGTCTTGATTCCAGTAAAAAAGGGTCTTCGGTTCTCTACACTCACCATACGAAACACAGCAGCATTAAGCTACTATTTTACGCTGGTATTCTGTGAGAGCGTGGTCCTACCCCAGTTGAGCCGATGCATTCGTGCTACAACTATAATATACCGGCGATTTTTCCGGACCGATACGACCTGGGGACCTTCAAGAAAAGAGCTTACTCCTTTCTAAAGGGCCAGCAACGCACCCGCAATTCTCCTGGTGTTGCGGTTGATCATGGGCGGCGGTAGTCACTTAACATCAGGTGAGCCACATGCTCGTTTGCCCCTTCTTCTATAAAAAAAAAACCGTGGCTCTATCACGTAAAATTAATCATTCCTCTTTCTATATGTCCGTAAAACACCGCATAAAATCTTTATGTAATACACAGATTAAACAATGTTACTAGGTCAGAAATCGTTTAAAACGTTGTTGAAACTTTTAAAATATTTAAAGAGAAAACAAAGTCATTAAAATATAAATAAACATTTATAAATCTCTTTGACAGGAAAAGAAAGAACTGATAATTGTTTTTTGATTAACAATTCTTTGTTTTCAGTCTTTCATTTCTCGCGACATAAAGGTACACACAAAATATAATTACTTCACTACATCACAGAACGAATATTAACATACCCGCCCGCTTGTCTGGAAAGAAGCCAAGCTATTTTGTACTGTAGCACTTCGTTGTGCGTCGCTTTAGAAGGCGTCTTTGTCACCAGAACGTCCAATAAATAATAAATATTTTGAACAAACAGTTCTTGCGACCGTTCACCTGCACGCCGTACATTGACTTTATAATTTTGAAAGGGGTATGTCTATTTTAATTTCACTGAATGCTGAATAACCGATGGGGAAGAAAGGTTCTCGAGTGGCAGCTTCGTACCAGAAACGATCATGGATGTGAAACAATAAGTAAGGGCGATATGATTACCTTAATACTTTTATTGTCCGATTTTCAGACACAAAGTGAAAAAGGGTTAAACTTTGCTTCCCTGTGAGAGGAGGACAAAACCACGGAGTCGTAAATTATAACTAGGGTTTCCACCTTTTTTTTGAACAAATATAGTTTCTTTTCCGAAATGGATGTAAAAATATATTATATATGGAGTACTTTTGAGAAATTCTGGCGAAAAAAAAATTCACGTTTAATTTTAATTTTTATGCCTGTATGCTCAATATAAATATTAATGTATTTTCCATATATATTTGTTATTGCTCTTTGCTTTGGCCATCAATGATCTAACCACCTTACCTTCTACCTTACTTTTAAAATAATTATAGGAGTCTAAGTAATTTAGATTCATATTAAAATAAATTATAAATAAATTATTAATTAAATTAATATAGGCTCTTTTTCTTTCTTCTTTCAATTTTACATTCATGTTGGAAAAAATTCTTTCTGTGAAACATACTTGTTCCAGACTAATCCAGTCACAGTTAATATAAAAAGTGACAGTGGAATTAGGGACGTAAAGATAGTTATTTTCGTTCTATATTATATTTCTATAATATTTAATACAATTGACTGAAATAAAGTATGATACTATATATTATAGTACGGGTGGCAACCCTAACTATAACTTTGGTTCATAAAAGATAGCTTGATCTCTGCGACAGCTGTCAGTAAAATCACGCCTATGAAGTCCTGAATTTCTTAGTAGTACAGACACACAGTGCCTGTCAATGTCATACTTTATGGGCATGCACTAATTAGGTCGGCATGCTCATAAAGTATGACATTGACAGGTACTTTCTGTACTACTAAGAAATTCAGGACTTCATAGGCGTGATTTTAACTGACAGCTGTCACAGAGATCAAGCTATCTTTTATGAACTATAATATATAAAAAAATAGGAAACAAGCTTTGGCAATAATAATGAACACTACGAAAAATCAACTTAAAAAAACCGCTAATGTACACAATAACTATCGTAGACAGAGAAACCTATAGACTAATGATTAGCGTGGCCTCGAGTGAGAAAGGACGATAACGTAGTTTTAGGTTATACAATAATCTTTATGACTTTTAAACATATTTAGATAAAATTTTTAATTGTTCTAAGAACTGAACTGAACAAGATTCACCAATATTAAGCTCACAGAACACTTTTTTCTCACTTAAACCAACTTGTAAACTCCTTAGATCGCTACGAACTGTCAAAGTTGTTTAGCAAAGTGTAGTTTGCTAAACAAAAAAAACCGGCACGGAGAAAGGGACAAATAATCACACCACTCTGTCTCATTTCTATGCAAGACGTATGCATAAATCTATCTTTTTCGTGTGCGAATGCGAAAGAAGGGCGTCAATTTGTATATAGGTTTCTCTGTCTACGATTATTATATTGTCAACTGTCAAAATAGCGTCGATAAAGCAGCACCCTTTTGACCTTTTATTATTTAATAATGGTTTGATCGACTGATGAAGAGCTATTGTATCATACAGCCATCTATGCGAACAAGACTGTACTTTGTAAGTCATAAGAAGGTGACCATATTAACGGTATATCCATTCTACCCTCACGTATGTTAGAAAATATCACAGTGGTCAATAGCGCAGTTAAGTGTTAAGTTACGGGTTCGAATCCCATACATAACAAGGTTTGTATGGCATAAAATGTAGAAGACACTTACGTTCGATCTCTTGGTCTTTCGCTTCTATCTCCTTCCTGAAGGCAGTGATGAGCTCCCTGGCTCGCTCTGCCTCGTCGCATCGCGTGTCTGCTAGCTCAGTTAGCGCCGCAACTTGCGACTGGAACTTGCTCTCTTGTGTCACCAGAGTCGTCCTGAAATTAACGCATAATTTTTAAACTGTTATTTATTGTCATGTCACTATTTCTTACGGTTTTCTGTCAAGAATGAATTTCCATACAGATAGACTAGATTATATTATATTATATTTATATATATATATATATATATATATATATATATATATATATATATATATATATATATAATCTAGTGCAAGTGGATGAGTTTGTGTATTTGGGATATGTATTTAGCAGGGATGGTAGATATGATAGGGATATAGAACGACGAATTAATGCAGGGAATAGAGTGAATGGGGCACTACACTCTATTATGAAGAACCAGAATGTGTCAAAAGAGGCACATAATTCATAATGCTGTGTTAGTCCCTACTTTAATGTATGGTAGTGAAAGCTGGGTGTGGCAGAAGAAGCACGAAAGTAGAATAAATGCTGTAGAAATGCGGTCTTTAAGGAATATACTAGGGTTGAATTTGAATGACAGGGTGAGAAATTGCGTGATAAGAGATAAATGTGATATGCAAGATGATGTTGTGACCAGGATTAAGAAAGGAATGCTTCGGTGGTTTGGTCATGTAGAAAGAATGAATGAGGAAAGAGTGACAAAGCAAATTTATATGGCAGATGTGAATGGCCGAGTCGAAAAGGGACGCCCTAGAAAAAAGTTTATCGACCAAATTGGCGATATTTTCAAAATGGGCCACGTTAGAAGTACCTTTAACCGACGAGCATGTATGCGTAGATATATAGATGTAAAGGAGGCGAAAGAGGTATGTCAGGATCGTGCCAAATGGAAGTCCGTAGTCTCTGCCTACCCCTCTGGGTGACAGGCGTGAGTGTTTATATTATATATATAAAATCTAGTCTTTCTGTATAGAAATTCATACAGAAAGACTAGATGGACATTTATTTCGGATATTGTTTTTTCTTCTTTAATCAAGAATAGATGTAGGTGACTTTTTAAATGCTAAACCTTCTAAAACGCACTAAAACATTTGGGGTTATAAATTCAATATTTAAGGGGAAATATAACTTCAAATGGCTTAGCAAGATCCTCCGTTATGCCGAAAATATTGCAGCATTGATTTTGAAATAAATATATGGTAAAGTTGAGGATTAATGTTAAGGATTATGTTAGACGAAAACACGATTTCGTAAAATTTTCTCGATAGAAAAAAAATCCAAAGTTACCTCCAAAATAAACAATAAACCGCTGTTATTCATAAAATACTTTAAATAAGATCATGAATCTTTGCATACTAACTGAACTAACTATAAAGCAGTGCTTATGTTATTTACTTTTTTAAAATACCATTATTTTCACTGTAAAAAAGAAATTACCTAAACTATCGGCCTCTTGAAGCGTGATCCCTGCCGCCTGGTCAGTTTCGCTACGGCCTTTGAAGGGGGGGGGGGGGGTTGTGTCGCTTACAATCAGAATACACATTACGCAACAGTACGAAGTAAAATTAAAATGGGAAATAACCGTAATAAAAATAAGAAGCGACTGGCTTGGCGTTAAGAAATAGGCATAAATATGATAAACCTAATGAAATGAGTGTCTAACGACCTATTTACTTATAGTATTAGTGATTACAAACGTGTCGGTACATAGCATACGACGACCGGGGAAGTGGGGGCGAAATTAGAATTTGAGCTGAGTTACTATATCCCCTTAAAAGGCTTCAATTGATTTCCTATAGACGTGAGGGTACAATGGTCATCCGGTTACTATAGTCACTTTCTTGTAACTAAAAAAACTACAGCCTTGTTTGCATAGATGGCTTTGTGATACAACAGCTCTTCATCGGTCAATCAAATAATAAATGGTCAAAAGAGCGATGCTTTATTGACGCAAGTTTGACAGTTGATATTAAAGTAAATTTCAGTCGATTTTAGTATGATGTAGTACAGTTAGTTATTTAAGTATATTTTTTGAAGTTTTCCTAATTATTGACAAAGCTTGTTTGCAATTTTTTCCTTAATACATTAGTTATAGTATTCGACTTTGTGTTTTTGTCTATGTGCTCCTAGTTTTGTTTTTATAGGGCGGCACAGATTAAAGTGACCATATTACCCTTACGTACCTTACTTACAGTCCATCTGACAGTAAGTGGTTGCTGTAGCCCATATACATCTACATCTATCCTCGAACAAGAGTAAAAATGTATTACCCCTGAGGACTAAGATGAAATGACACGTTTCTAGTTTCTCTACACTCGCTATACGAAACTGCACCGCTCGATCCAGTCGACCCAAACGTCGCAGGCACATCACACAGCGACACTACATCCACACTAAATGGGACAAACACTAATAGGACAACGAATTGGACGCGTCGCACCCGCAGACGGGCACGACGCGTTTCAGCTCACACCGCGTACACACCGTACACCCGCCTTCCTGGACGGTTCTCACCGCCCAGACCATCGACCGACACGAGCTGAGCAGTCAGAGACGGGGGTCCGCACTCCCCCCCTCGGACTGCGATTAGATAGCTCAAATAAAAACGCCTAAAAAGGCGACATGATGATTGTTAACAATATCAAATCACAAACCATTTCATCATCATCCTCACCTTCCATCATCATTCATCATTTGTCTCATTGCATTTAGCTAGCGAAATGCAATGAGACAAATAAGTGTCATATAGACTAACAGCAATAACATCTAGACAATAGTAGTATACGAAACAAGCAACAGCTTGAGCTGATATTAAATCTAATCCCTTTATGCTTGAAAGTGATTGTTGACATCCATTGGCTGCAAGAGCCGCTTACCATCGTATAAAATAGCTTTACAATATTAAAAAAAAGAAAGATCATTGATCTCTCACAGGCACGATTCGCAATAACCTGAACTATCGATTTGTTGATTTAAGGTTACCGGAATAACTCGATCCTCGTTAATACCACTCCGAAATACACTATGTAAACATAGGTTCTAAAAAGACCTATGACTAAGTGACCTAGATCGTTTTGAAACCTGGTACTCTTTTTAGATCTTGTGTGAAAAACGAGTAGGTACACGGCCTACTTGGTGGTTTTGCACGTGGTAGAGCCACGCTCTAGCTGTATTATGTTTGTAGCACGATTGCGTCTTCTCGACCGACGTACAACCACGCTCTCACAGAATACCAGCGTAAAATAGCAGCTTAATACTGCTGTGTTTTGTATAGTGAGTGTAGCGATTCGGTGACCCTTTTACTGGAAAAGAGGCATTCCATCTTAGTCCTCGGGAGTGACAACGCACCTGCGTTTCCATTCCTAATCGAGGATAAATGTAGATGTCTATGGGCCACAGCATCCACTTACCATCAGATGGACTGTGTGCTCGTTTGTCACCCTTGTTATATATTAAAAAAAACATTGACGCTGTGGTTCGTAGAGATTTGCTCAATTCTTTAAACATGCAATTCTTGTATATACCTTCGCCAATTATAAAATGGTTATACTTTGAGAGTGTTTTTATAAAATATGAAGAAAAATTCACACTGTTTAATGTAACTATTTAGACAACATTCAGATTATAATATTGAAAACTGACTTTAAAGAAAAGAGTAAAAGCCGACTTTAAATACTAAAAGAATAAAATAATTCACATTCTAAAGTCGGGGTTTTAACGCTTTTATACACTATATATCTTCTGCCAATATTATACTGAAGTAGCTTTAAAAACTTAAAATTTCACTATTTTAGACGCAATTATGTCAAATTATGATCTGAACTTTAGTTGTCCAAGTTTATCTTTTGACGTGGTAAAGCCACGCTGCAGCTATATTATGGTTGTAGCACGAGTGGGTCAGTTCGACTGGGGTAGGATCACGCAATAGCAGCGTAAAATAGCAGCTTAATGCTGCTGTGTTTCGTATAGTAAGTGTAGAGAACCAGAGACCCTACTTACTGGAAACGAGGCATTGCATCTTAGTCCTCAGGGGTTGAATTTTGATTCTTAATCAAGGATAAATGTAGATGTCTATGAGCCACAGCATCCACTTACCATGAGGTGGACTGTTAGACAAACCCACTTTTTAAAAAATCTACGCAGAACAGGATTATAGTGCACGAGTGGGTTTGCAAGCACAGATGTGCACTCTCCATTCTCTCACTCTCGTGATCCAATGGGACAGAAATTCGAGACGTGATGGTAATCTGATACGACCGCAGAGAGATCAGGCGCAAGACCAGCGGCTTTGTTTGATTTCCAAATCACGGAGGTGAAACACTGCCAATTTGCCGACTCCAGGCTGTTACTAAGAATTTTTTGAAAGACAGACCGTATAACCAATTGTCGTCCGACCCGGCACTCGAACGGCTCTCGTAATCAGTAGCCGCGGCAGTCGTTTTATACATAATATACATGTATTTACATAATTATTTGATTTCTATGCGTATTTCCTTTCTGACCTTCAATTTAGCCACTTCTGCCTGTCTGATAGGTATCATGACCCCCGCCCTCGTGATCTGCGGAATTTAGTTTTGCTTTTAGCAATAGTCAATCGAATTATTTTTGTTCTAGAACAGATGTTCGAGATGTACTCGAGATTGAAATAGGCCGTTTGTTATTGTGCAAGCGGTGCTCGAATTTTGTTGAGTTTTATATGTTTGCAGAGTTAAAACTGATTAAAACTAAGCGAACTGTAAAATATTTATTTAAATATCTCAGTATATATTAACACATTGATTAAAACTAATTTTACGGATTTTTGTTAGTTAGTGAGTTTAATTAATTTGATTTTTAATTCTCGACGTTTTTCTTTCTGCGTAGACCGGACCATAAATAATAATTAAAAAGCTGAAGGCACTCCGTGTTAACACTGACATTGGGACTGTGGTTCCCCATGACCGTGGGTGCTGGAAAGCACCCGAAACGTCGGGAATTAAAAATCTAATAAATTAAACGCGATAAAATCCGTAAAAGTAGTTTTAATCAATATGTAGTGTTCGCGTAAATATAAGAAATTATTTTATACATTAACACGTCAGGAGAAAATATTGTTTTTGTTTTATAGGATA